GGATGAGCGATATCCTCAATGCACTCGCCAGAGTCATCTTTGCTATCCCAGAACCCTCGATTATCGTGGTCAACATGACAGCTCCTCACAAACACGACGGTGAAAGAGAGGTCGAAATCAACAGAGTGCAAAGTCTGGCGCTCAACATGGTGTCTCATGGCACTTGGCATGTTATCCTGTTTGTTTCTGCCTCTACCTGACATGCTCGTAATCTCATACGAATTACTATTTCTGTCATTTCTCGAAGGAACGCTCGTTGCTATATGATTTTGGTGTTTTGGCTGGTTGGTGCACCTTGTGCACGAATAGTTTTCATGATCAGACTGTTTTTCGAATTCAGGAGGGTCCGATCTGTGGTGTAGAAGTCTTATTATAATTTCAAGACTATTGTTTATCAATCAATGCAATTGATCTGTATTATCAAGAACACCGCGAGACTAATCCATTGGATGTTGGCTGGGTAGTTTCCAAAATGGTAGATCGCTGGCGAATTTGGGTGTCCCATGTAAGCCACAACCGTGTATTTCCCCCGCGGAGGGTCGTGTATTTCATCCACCATCCAACTTCCCCAATAGATGTTGGCTGCATGAGAAAACAATAGCGCGATGCACCCAGAAATAGTGCATACACCACATGCAAGTTCGCAGCTTCACACCCAATTTCTGTCCACTTGACAGAGAGTGATCCCCCATTGCATATCACGCTGTTTGCCAGTGGGCAGGCTGGTGAATCAACCAAGCCAACTGCGAATCATTTAAACGGCATTCTGCTGCGCATGTCTCAATATGTATGTGATTAAGACGAGACGTGCATTGATCGTGATGACCGTTGATTAAATGAGTTGCTTGTTGGAGGTAACGCCCGTCACTGGCTCTGATCTGAAGCCTGGCCATCTTGGACAACTAAATGTTGTGCATCCGCTCATCGTATAGTATGTTAGACGTGGCCCCTGTAGATTAGAGCTCCTTGGCGTAGTTAAACAGCTCACTGTCTTCTGTGATAGCGCAAAGCCCTTTTGAGTAGACCTTCAAGCCCCCAGCAGCACTGAGATAGCGGTAGTTTTATCCCATTAATACTTTGACAACCTGCAAAGCCCTGTAGGCCTATGGGAACCTGCGATGAAAGTTACCGTCTGCTGAGACCTGGCACCAAAACAGATGCTCTGACAGGGTGCCAGCCACCAACGTCCACAGCTGGAAATCAGGCTGAGGGGCCTTTGGTGACAATCGATTGCCAATGCATAAAACATGGAGGGTCTGTCTCACACACTAGAGAATCTCGGTGCTGGGAACGAGGACTCCGAGCTGAAACTGTATTCCTGGGAGCCCACGCGTGCAGATCAGGAGAGTGGCTTGAAGGGAGGAGATGTTAAGTAGTCCCAGATGTCCACTATCGTGGTTCCTCGAATTCTTGTTTCTGGCCGCAGAATGTGAGAGCCTTTCGCAGCTCCGCACTGGTCGGTCTTTGTCGAGTGGTGACAGATTCAGGTCGTTACCATGGAACTGGCGAATCTCATGTCCCTGTCGGTAGGTGTGGCTTCAGCCTTCTGTTCTGTTTCGCACCCGTTTCGTTTCAGTTTGTTTCGTTCAATTTTTGTTTCGTTTAATCACCAAGGAAGGCCTGGAGTGCTCTTATGGATGAGAACATGGAGTGCGCCTCGCCCATAAGCATCTTCCACTTATGGGACCTTGTTTAGAAACTCTCCAATCGCTTGATGCCCCCCTAGGCTGCCGTGCCTGGGCTCCTATGCCATTGTACCAAGGACTCGAGGTGCCACCTGGTTGGACGCCGCCTGAAGACTCGGTAACTTCGACACACGATGAATCCATCACTCCAAGCTGACCAACGAACAAGCTCCCTTTTCTTTTTCTTCATGTCGATTGCTTCTTCCGTCGATCCACTACTTTCGGATATCCTCCAACAAAATTCGAATATTAACGGGACGATCGGTGCTGCCTCTGCTTTGTGCCAACATGTACAGTAGCCTGTACCCCTGTCGCGAGCTTACTGGCTAGTTGAACGAAGTGACTCTTTTGCCATCACATCTTTCAAACCTCGTCCATCGATATCGGCATCATCATCAACTGACGACGTACCGTATTGTTGGCCGTTGTTTGCAACGTCTCGCCTTATCGGCCTATCACTTCTTCGGTTCCATTGAACAGCTGGGTCTGTCTGCGAAGGCACGCAAAAGCACCGTGATCTTGTGCAGAGCCCTGCGTATTATCACATCTGGAACCAGCCCTTTCCAGTCTTTTCTGCCAACAGCTGCATCACTCTGTTCACAAAACAGAGTGACTGGCGAATCATTCCATACTTTTTTTCCAGCAACCGAAAGAATCTGGCCTGTAGCTTCCTCGTCGATACTCCTCGAACCTCATCCCCTGGAAGTTCCGTCTGGCGTGTCATCTTTCAACCTCTGGTACAGCCACCAGCATCGGAGGCAAGGAAGAAATTGGTAGCTCGGGGGCTTCACTGGCATTAACCAGGGTGCTTTCATACGTCCCGTCATGGATCCTCATTCTGGGCTTCGTGAGCCTGTGGCTCGGATATGCGTTACCTGCTCACAAGCATGTGAGAGAAAGAATGGTCATTGGGCATGCGTCAACTGTGACCTTGTCTACAAGTATGACGAAGGGAATCTCGAAATAGTGTCCCAGGGCAATCCCACTACCTTTGGTAGAGGTGTAGTCTTCCGACCTCTTTCAGGAGCACAAGAGCAAGGCCATCAACCTCCCTCTCCATGTTTGTCTAAGGCGGCAGACAAACATGAGAACCACAAAGACTGGGTACGCTATAGGTTACTGCATCTCCCTTCAACAGAGAGCATACTAACAGTACAGACTTTCCCAGATGTAGTCGAGCAGGACAGCCTGTCGAGTCATGATCAGACCAGGGATGGCTCTGCGCCTACACTCTCTCAAGTGTATGCCCTCCAGGGAAGCTGTGGCAGGTTTGTCTATTGCGCTTCCACCCGGATAGTGACTAGTCTAATGGCGGAGTAGCGTTGACCACGGATGGCGGGTTGTCGATAATGGCCCAAGCCAGGAGAGAGGTGATCCAAACCAGTCCTATGAATCGATGGACCTCGACACCGATGATGAGGAAACTAATGACGAGGCGTTTCACTCTTGGATTGATGAAACAACTGGACCGGGACTGAGCGGAAGACAAAGAGGCATTAGCCACGTCTTGCATCAAGTCGCCGTTCTTGGTCTGGACCGAGACACTTCTCCGAACGCACTCCCAAACAACACGACGCTTGAAATTTCCGATGACACAGATATGGAGGAGTGAAACATATCTTTCTGGCTTTCAGCCTCTGGGGAAATAAGGGATAGAGGATGGGAGTGAACATGGTGCTAGAGACTTGAAGAGGGCACACCGAGTGCGCTTGTTCTCTCTCCTGTCGTGCCTGCCAAGGTAGGTACTTAGGTGAGTAGTGCCTACCTAGGTAGTCTTTCCAGTTTCTATAGGTACGTAGACGTCGATCGAAGGGCAGGCACCCCCCGCTGCTGGCAGTTGAGGTACGATTTGAAGAATCAGGAGAGAATCATTTCAGGGGGCGCAGATAGGCGTGCGTGGTGCTTCGGGTTATGATAGATGAAAGACGAAAGATGAAAAGGAGTGCAAGGAAGAGACTGAACGTCTCCGATGCTTATGATGGATGATAATGACTAGGATAGGGCAAGGGCTGGATGCGCTGTTTGCTTTCGCTGGGAATTGTCTTGGCTTGGGATGGCTTTCTCCTAGACTGTTTGAGCTTGGTGGTTTCTTTGTTTCGCTTATGTTGGTGGTCTATTTGAAACGCGAGGAGCTGTAATGATATGTCACTTTCTCTCAGCGTCCTCGTTCAATTGTATTTGAGACTCTGCCCCTGACATCGAAAGCTCGCCATGCCTACGCAACCAATTCGCAAATGATAAGGCTGTGTAAACTTGTTGTCTGCGACCATTCTCCATCCCTCTCATTTGGTATAATGGTCATCATCCAATCGGTGATGGCAATTGGTCTATGTCGCCACAAGCTACCACACCAGCTGCGCTTGGTAAAAAGATCAGGCGTGGCAAAGAATGTGCCATCTCCAATAGTTGAGAAAAGAACAGAGATCATCCTTGTGGCTGAGCCAGGGCCTTGGGGTGTATTTTATGTTGTGTGAGTGGCATCTTGAAGTCTCCTGTGTTCAAACACTTGAGTAGCACAAGCTGAGACGACATAACGAAAAGCTCATGAGAAGCAGAGAGCGCGAAAAGAGACCTGAAAATGAAGAAAGGGGATTAAATAGGGGAAACGGTAAACGAGATCAAATGGCGCACTTGGTGAAGCCACTCATGACAGACAATCCGGGGTAATCGCCTGAACTTTTTCGGACCGGCGGGCCCACTCCACCGCCGGGATCATTAGCTGCCTCCGGCAATTTGCATTCTTTCGGGTGCCCGCTTATACTTGCTTGTTGCAAACAGCTACCCTGGGAATCACGAAACTGGGCGTTCGGCTCTTCATATATATAACTGTCTCAAAATCTTTCCACTGAACACGAGGAAACACCGGAACTCGTGTGTCAGACCGCCTTCGGAGAGGCCGAGAATTCAGCTTGGTCTGTTCATGACTGCAGATCACCTATTGTCAGTCATTCTTCCGGCTATGCATTCTCGAGGTTGACCTTTAAGGGTCCGCTTGGCTTGTTGATGATTTATATCCGTTTCTGTTGCTGAACCGTCCGCTAGAACCTCGTTGCCTGCCCATCAATCCACGAAGATATTAGCTTCTTCGGCAATGAGTCACATTAGTTAGTCGCAGCTGCATGGTGAAGGACTTTCAACACCATATATAGACAATCTCCCGATGCCGTTTCACAATTGTTCACGCTGTTTTCACGGTGGTACATCATTGAGATTATAAATCTTCTGTCTGATCTGGCCTTCCACAACGAGACTCCGAACTATCAAGTTCAACTTGCCACAGAAGCCCACCCACCAGTTATCAACAGAGGCGACAAAATGAACCCTGTGGAACTAGACGGAAGAACAGGAGAGGGCGGTGGACAGGTTGTAAGAGTCGCAATAGCAATAGCTGCCTTGGCGGGACAGGCTGTCACCATCACCAACGTCAGAGGAAACCGAGAACGTGGAGGTGAGTGATGCCTAAACACGTACTGCGACGCCACTAGCTGATATTCCCCAGGTCTCAAGAGCCAACACGTTACGAGCATTCAATTCCTCGCGGAGATAACAGATGCAGATGTGGAGGGCCTAAGTGTAGGTTCCAAGACCATAACTTTCGCTCCACGACGAGGACCCACAGAACTATATCAACGCAATATCAAGATATCTGCAGAGTCAGGTTCTGCGAGCACTCTCCTCATTTTGCAAGCTGTCCTCCCGTTTCTGATCTTTGCCGGCAATGATTCCGAGGAATCAGTCGAACTTTCAATATCTGGTGGATCCAATGTGTCGTTTTCGCTCAGTTTTGAATACCTGGACCAAGTTCTCCTACCAACATTGGAAGAACGATTTGGAATTCATGTTGAAAGGGCGTTAGAAAGACGTGGATGGAGCCTCGGTCCGCAGTCGAGAGGTCAGATACGTCTCAAGTTTCTTCCATTGAAGATTGGCCAAACTCTGCGATACAAATCCCCAGAGCAACGTAGTTACCCTGAGTCCTATGAGATCAAGTCTATTGATGTCAGCATGCTAGTGCCTGGCAGCACGCACGAGAGACTCCAGGCATCACTGACAAGGGACCTTGGGGGTTTCTTTTCTGGGGCAGACGTCCATTTCAAGCATATTGAAGACACGAGCCTAGATTCACGGTGGTACATACTGCTTGTGACCCATTCCACATCTGGGATCAGATGGGGACATGACTGGCTTGGATCAATACCGAAAAAGACAAAGAACAGGGACATGTTCGTCGATCAAGTGTCAAGAAAATTGTGTCTGGGTTTGTACGATGAGGTAGCTGTCGGTGGCCAAGTCGACGTTCATCTTCAAGATCAAGTGGTCGTTTTCCAAGCACTCTGTGAGGGATACTCTTCGTTTCCTCGAGGAGATGCCCCAGATGATTCTCCACCTGACACACTAATCGATGCCATGGGAAACCTGGATATCGGTACTGGCAGAATGAGAAAAGAAAAGACGAATGAGCCCTTCGGTTACGGCTCTCTTCATACACAAACAGCCCGGTGGGTTGCCAGCGAGATGTTGCCGAGCGTCGAGTTTTACAACAAAGGCAACCTGGTGAAAGGGGCAGGTATATCAATGAAATAGACTCTGTTGAGAGCTTGACGTTGCATACTTATGACTCAATGGTAGTTCGTTATAGATGAGTATGAATGTGGTTAGATAAGGCCAAAACACCAATGAAAGCATGCATTTTTGTTGAGCGGTGTGGATTGGGATGCGACGTGGCTGCCTGAGGATGGCCTCACAGAGGAGCAAAAGTTTTAACTGGCAGAGAATTATGCCGTATAACACGATTATTTTCGTTGGGTATAAGTTAGCCATCTCCTGCCAACCTCAACTTTGCCTGTGGCTGATGCCACCATAAGGTGTCCGAGCCTCAGTCTTGTCATAGCAGGCCTCGATAATCATGGTCGTTGCACTTTAGCTACACACTACCACCAAAATAATGCTCATCAGGATGAAGGAACATCACCGAACCGGAATTGTGACCATCCGAAGCTGCCTTCATGAAGAGTCCATATCTGTTTTCCCCAATCCTCACTGGCGGCGCCTGCAGCGATGAAAACTGGCATAAGGTGATCCATGAAAGGGTGTGCTTGTTTCGCATCTCCCCGCTTACATATCGCCGCCATCTTCTCCTCTCGGACAGCTGGGTCGGCCTCCACAGCCTCCTTGAGAGCGTTATCGAAGCTCACAACATATGGCAGTGGCTCTGTGTTACCCTCGAACATGTGGTGCATGTCACGTAAGTTGTGTACTGACATTCCGGCTCCAATGATGACTATTCCCTCGTCCCGAAGTGCAGATACAGCACGTCCGAGAGCGTAGTGAGCATGAGGATCTTCGTTTTTGAAGAGCGAGACTTGAACAAGTGGTACGTTGAGTGGATTTGTTTCTGGGTTGAAAGCTGCAAGCTGTTAGACCTTCACATATGGATATCCGTTGTTTGGAGAAACGCACCAACATGAAAGCCAGAAAATACGCCATGATCAAGACCTCGCTCCATTCCATAGGATTGGATACCAGCTTCTGAAAGCATGACCATAATCTTGCTCGCAAGCTCTGGGCTACCCTTGTTTGGATATTGAGCTTTATAAAAGTGATCGGGGAATCCGTAGAAACTGAGATTATTAACATAAAACCTTGTAAAGCATGGAGTGATGTGACGCACTCATAAATGAGAGGAGTATCTACAGCATTGTTAACATGAATAGCGCGCTCCTCTCCCATCCAATGTGCTGAGAAGACCACTACGGCCTTCGGCTTCACTTTCTGCGTTATTTCCTTTCCAATTTGTTGGAGGACAGGATACACTGGGTGCTTTGTGTTATACTGCACATCAGGCTTGGAGTACGTCAGTAGCTATCCGCTTGAGCTTCAACATAAGTAGACTCACACCACCATGACTGAAGAAGTATACAGGCGCCTTTGTTGCTGTATTCGTCTTCATTGGAAATGTTACATCCTTCTGTGAGTTATACCAATCAAAGCCTGCCCTCTGCAGAGTCGATGAGAAGGCTTTGAGTGGTGAAGCACCAAACAAGGCAATCATGGCTCCGGCAATAGAGAAGAAGCCGATCAATGATCGGAAAGATAGGAGTTGGGTCATATTGAACAGCGATAGGTTTCGGTAGCAACTCTTGAGTTACTGGTTAATCCACGGTCGCTTAGAATATGTGTCTTCCTTTTACATGTACTGTAAGTGTATATCCGAATATCCATCTCGGGAGAGGCCGGCGCTGGTAAATCCATCAGTGGATCTGGCCCAGCTGAAGTGGGATGAATTTGATGCTGAATCAGCTCATCACGGGGATCTTGTTTACGTAGCCGACTGTGGAGGGATCTGAGACATGATTGCACTTTTATGCTATGATATTCGGGCTGGAATTTGATTCATAAACATAGTTATTAAAAGCTAGAGCTCGTATAATAGACTAGGTGAACTTAGGTATGCAAACGAATAGAAAGCTCTAGCCAGACACAATCAAAATTCAGGAGTCAATTACAACTGGCTTCAACACACAAACTTAGAATGACGCAGGATAAATCAAACTTGAGTCTTAAATTGCGTGAACGTAGAGGTCGTAGAACAAAGAATAAGCCTACTTCCTGTTGAAGCTTGGAAGACCTCATATTCAGACTTGACTGTTACGGCTGGCAAGCTCAAGTTCACGGAGCCGGATAAACTAGCCCCACAACTGCACCAACGCAGCTACGTTTAGTGGTCGGTTGCCTGTGCAACTGCCAAATTAGCCCGCCAAAAATTGGAAGTCAGGGCAGCTTCAGAAACTGCCACTGGGCATGTGAACAGGCGGCTCGTCCAACCATCAGCAACCTCAACTCCTTTCGTGCAGACAGACATCGCCATCTAGGATTTCGTACCTCCTAAGGTATCCGTACGGCCCATCGATTCGACACCCCCTCCTCGCCGTTTGTCAGCTCTCCCTGCCGCCAAAGCCTTCATCATGGCTCCTCTCATTCTACATAACGTTCCTGACGACGAGTGTTACGTTGGCGATGATGGCGTGAAGCGACCATATGCCATGTATTTCAACCAGTATGTCTTCCTCCTTGCCCATTCGAATCAATGCTAACGTAACGCGAAAAAGGCAAGATGCTCCCCAAGGAAGCGCACGGTCACGTCGCAGCGCCGCTGAGTCTGGTTCCTTCGGTAAATCCACACGGCGCTCACGATCACGTACTGGTACACCTGCACGCAGTCGCGAAAATCCTACACTAGCTGCTGCAGACAAGCTCTTTGGCGACTGGGTATCGAACCAGGCTGCAACAGCGCCATCTCAAACTGTTCAGCGCAAGAGCAGTGGTTTGATGCAAGAAGAGGTTCCCGTCAAGCGATCTGTTACTTCTACACCCGTCGAGCTCATCCTTCGCGGCTACCGGTCATCAACACAGCAGTATGCCGCTATTTCACACTATGAATCCCTTGCCGGCGCGATCTTGGAGGATTACCCTCGCGAACCTCCTGCCAGCCAACGCCGATACAAATCTGAGTTGCGCGACCCTGCCTTTACGCGACGTCGCAACCTGACAGCAGATGAGCGAGCTATGGTGAATCGCGCAGATGGCGGAGAGCACTGGGTGAAGGTCACCTTCGAAAGCAGAGAAGCTGCCGAAGCTGCTACTTTTGCCAGCCCTCAGAGAATACTGGGTCATCTGGTTTATGCTGAGCCGTACCGAGGTGTTCCTCCCGCCAAAGACGAGGCTTGTCCCGATATCGAGGTCGTTCCAGACCATTCCCGCTCACAAAGTATGCCTGCTGCTGTTCCCACTGCCAATGGTCGCAAGAGCTTCAGTGGGCCTACATCGTTTAACAGCCGGCTCCTCGATCTCTCTCCTCCTCATTCGCAGACATCTAGCTTTACCATGGATACTGGAACTATCAGCAACTCTCACGCTTCTACAGCTACGATCACCGAGCCTTTCCCTCTTCCTCAAGCTACCACATCAAGCATCGAACCCATGGAGATCCGTGATGGCGACAGCGTTTTCTGCCGCCGCATCCCTACTGCCCGTCGCGCTACCATTCTTCCCGCCGAACAAGCTCTCCTACCTCAACAAACTATGATGCAACGGGTCGTCAATGCTATTCCCTTTGTGAAGTGGTTCGGCGGTAGCATGATCGGCAACGAAGTACCACGAACCGAGACCGGCGAGTTTGACTGGAGCAAAGCCAGTCTCTACTGGAAGCTTATCTGGTGGCTCGACGCTACTTTTGGACTGTTCAGCGGCGATGTACTCAATGCCGACAAGGACGACTAGAGGACGTTCGGTCGGCGTTGGAAGCCAAAGGTGTTGAAACCAGCGTCCCAACGAAAGGGGTCGACGTCTAAAAGACGACGATCGTCGGGCGGCCGTGATAGAATGTACGAGAGACGAAGAATTTGATCATTGACCACGGCGTAATAACGATCATGGCGTCAGGCGTGTTATAATGGAATTGGGACCGTGTCTGAGTTGGTCGACATGCTTAATAGATGGAGGGTGGAAAATCCGTATAATGTTCTGTACACTATCAATCAAGAGCAAAGTACTCTTGCAAAATCTATTGCTGCCTCTCCGTGAAGAGAATATTTCCCAAATGCCCGTGTAAACGCCCTTGTAGATGAATCCCGAACACGACGATAAGTCATTGTCACCACTTAATCAGTTTCAGCTTGGACTTTTATCTTCATCACCGCTCCATGCAGCTGCTGAGCCAGCGTCTGTGATGAGCGGCTCTGAATTTGCCCTTTTTCTCACCGAGGTTGGTGATCCTGACCGACCTCTCGTTTCCTCCTCTTGACCATTTTCTTTTTCATGCCCACCATCGCCATTATGTTGCTCTTCTGCTCCTGCGTCATCAGCTTCCACAACAGGCATCAGGAGCTCCGACCTATTCAAATCGTCTTCTCCGTTTTCAAGCCCTTCTGCTCTACCCCCTAGAGAATCAAATGTCACGTCTGTTGGAATGCGACGAATAGGCTGTGGTGAGAACGGCCTTGCATTGCGGGGTTTGTTGAAGTCAGTTGAGAAGACGCTGTCACTGTCATTCATAACGCCACCACCGGGTCTAGAATCAGATGCCAGTGCTGCTAGAGATTGATACCGTTCTGTGTCCATAAGAAGACTGTCCCCTCTAGCGTGACTTCTGGATGGATCTGATCCTGTATCGGCCAGTATGCTCTTAGGGGGGAGGATAGAGAAGAGTTTGGGGGTGTCGCCGCTACCGCCACTTCCCAAGTTCGCAGCATCTTCCTCCGTTGCGAATAAGTCTTGACCCTTTTCAAGAAGATCATCTAGGCCGCCTCCGCTCCAGCCTTTCCTCGCTAGACCTTCAAATATGTCCACTTCTGCACGTACAAGACTGCAGCTTGCTTCGACAATCCTTCCACTTGTCTCTTGACTCTCCCTCAATAGTGTCCGTGCATGATCGGCATGCAAAGTCGTTAAGCCATCCAATTTTGTCGTCAACTCGACTAAATGTGCCCTAAATCGACCAACATCCCGTCTCCTCTGTTTATGCAGCTTCATTCCTTCTTTCTCCAGTCGCTTGATTTCTTTGCTTTGTGCCTTGATCTTTTGTTTGTACGTCTCCTCTTCATCGTCAATAACGGTCTGCCACTTGTCCAGATCATGGAGCAGTGGTACTTCGAAGGATCGGTATACCGTCTCAGAGAGGATCTGTTGGTGATTGGCAACAAGGTAGTGTACTCCGGAGGCGGACATAAGCGTATCGGCTGTGCAGGAACCCTTGGTTGTAAAGCTTGCTGTCATATTAGTCCCAGACGGACCGATGGGCTCGGCGCGAGCTTCCTTTAACCTGGCGCATGCTTCAAGTGCTGATCCAAATGTCGATGCGGCGGTTGACAATGCGGCGAGTGCCAGTCGGTAGCCTTTTGCGGAGGCGACAAGGTCGGAGTAAGCTTGCTGAGAGAGCTCTAGGTCGGCTTTTGTAAGGACAGCATGTGAAGATCGTGGGGGCGGCGGCAAAGGCAGATTATACTGAGATAACGGATTTGCAGTCGACGCAAGAGAATAGACTGGCGATCCCGGAACGGGCGGCAGCTGTGACGGTGTCGGCGACACTGGACGCGATGTTGTTTCGGAGGCCATATTTGTTTACTTTGGGCGGTCGATCATCGGGGGATGCTCGGGCTTGTGAGACTGGTGCTCAAGGCGCACAAACGACAAAACTTCAGATATAGTTGTGTGCTTCACAACAATGAAGTTGATGCGTCAGCTTGGATTTGCCGAGTGACGGTCAAGGTTATCGACTCTACCAAGGTTTCGGTTGGCGAATGTTGGAGAAGAAGTGGTCCAGGATCAAGGGTCTGTTGTTTCGAGCTCATCTCCCCCACCGATAGAAGGTTCGCGTGCGCTAGGCGTTAGGGCACTTAGTGGCCCGGTCTTATCATGCAACTCGGTAGGGCGTTCTGAGCCACTCAGTAGTGGAGCGCACGTCATTTGGTGTACATTCATCCATCCATACGGAGAATTTGGAGATCTTTTGGCATCACGAGGTATCGATGAGCGATATCAGATATAGAACACGCGGCATATGAAGTCTATATAATTGGCCCCTTCACAACTCGTGCCAGAATAATGTGATATCATGATTTTGGAAACCTTTGGCGCTTGGTAGACTGTCTATTATCTTCTATTTCGCACAAGAGAGGGTTCTGTGTTCAAAGGCTCACAAGTCTATACTTTGTGAGGTCTATACCATGTATGACTTTAGTTCTTGGGAGGCAATTGCTTTCTCAGGAACGCCTCAACCTCATCAAGCTCCTCCAGGCAAGCAGAGTGGCCCATACCACTATCAAGAGTTAGCATCTCCTTGTTAATATAGCACTGGTCACTTACGGGTAAGTCTTAAATGACACATCGTAGCCAAGCTCCTTGAGCAGATCGGCACTCAGCTTTCCACGCTGGAAAGGAACAATAGGGTCCGCATCTCCATGGAACATCATCACAGGGGTCTGGCGGTTGGCATCCGTGGGCTTGACAAGGTCGGCAAAGGTTTTGGACAGGAGAAGCCATGATGAAAGGCCGACGATACCGCCCAGCTTGCTTGTGCAGGTGAGACCAGCAAGGAGTGACATGGCGCCTCCCTGGGAGAAACCTCCAAGAACAATACGCTCAGGGGGGATGCCAGAGTTAACCTCCTCTTGGATGAGATCATGGAAGTACTTTTGACTTCGCTTAATGCCCTCTGTATCCTCATTGCGGACCAGGCTATCAACATCTCCGCCGAGTTGTTTCTGCTTCGTGTCAGGATAGCCAATCAGATGAATCAGAGCAACTTACAACGTCAAACCACCCAGGCATTCTCATTCCCATGTTCTAAACGTGTTAGTTGGGTCTTGAAAAGGCTCCTCAAAGGTCAACTCACCACAGTGATGGGGATTTCTGGAGCATGAGGCAGAATGAACTTGACTTCATTGAGCTTCTCTCGTCGGCGCCAATTCTCAACAGCACTTGCCCAGCCATGGCCAGTGTCACCCAGGCCATGCACGAAGATGACGGTAGCCGTGTGGCGGGATGCCGCAGGGAAGACGAGGGGGAGTTTTCCTGACATCCTGACTTCTGGCTGAGTCTCTGGTTCGGTGCTGGTGGATAAGGATTTGAATATGAAGAGAAACACTAATGGAGCAGCAACGGTGCAAAAGTAGCGAAGGAAGTGTCTATAGGATATTGAATCGTTGTTGGTTTGCTGCGGTTGATTGGACATGAATGGAAGGGTTCAAGTTAAGTTGTCCAATGATTGTGTCGATATCAAGTGGAGAGTTTAGTGGCAGATACAAGTAGAAACTGAGAGTACCTAGCCTGACAAGCTGCTTACCCTGCACATACCCCACTATTTTCCTTGCGGAATTATGTGTATTATCAAGATACAGTATTAAACAATGCTGGTAGTTCTAACGGAATAGAATGTATCTAGTGATTTCTTGTACCCTAGCTACCAATGATCAATCAAGTGAAAGTGACTTAACTCACGTGACCTCATCGATCGAAAGAAAGTGAGAAAGAAAGAAAGCCAATAATGTCATTTCTAATAAGCGAGAACTACCAAGGCATGTGAAGATGGAAGCAACGCGGTAGTATTGTAACTTATTTACTGGTCGATGTACTATACATTGGATATATATTTGGGAGCAAGGCGCACATGTGGTGATTCCAGTAGCCAGAACGCTTGCAAGATTATCACGGGAATTGCACTAACTATAACAAACGACTGTGGATATCTCGAACTACATGAAGAAAGGAGGAGTTGGAATATATAAGTTACTACATGAATTTATATCATATACTTTGCTGCAACTATTATCCTACCGAGAGTCACTAGTAATGGAGAAAGAGAAGGAAGAAACCATTTGGTTAATAGACTTACACTGAAGGTGATAAACAACACACGAATGCCTCGTATTGCTTCTTCTAGGCTTTCCAAGGCACTTATGAAACTCAGTGACTTCACAGTTACTGGACAATAGTTACTTCGCTACTGTAAATGGTAATAACATGCGTTATCATTTGAACCAGTTTCCAGTCCTCGAAACAAGGAGTAATACTGGAATGTTATGGGTGAGGTAACTGTATGAGAAGGAACCTAAAATTTGTTAATTTGAAGCTCGTTGCCGGTTTTCTACGTTGAAAAGATATAACAATATCAGTGGTTTACAATACCATTTATAATTATTACCCTGTGCCTGTTTGGCTTCACTGTGCCGTCCGAAACTCTGTCAGTGGTATGGGGTTTGTGGACCTTTCCTGTACCTCGACAACTATCAAGGGCTGATCCCAAATCCCAATCGTGGAGTGATTCTTGAAATGTGGCTTTCTGATGCTCTTTTTTGAAGTTGTGATCAACTCGACCACCATAAGAACCGCATATCAGTGAGACTGTTACTTACCTTATGGAAACGATCAAGTAGACTGGAGGATAACGATGATCGAGGGATTCAGTAGACAAACGAGACAAACTCTTCGCTGAAATAATAGTAAATGGCGGTTAGGGGCCTCAACTTATCGACTTCCTGTACAAGAAGACCAATCTTCATAAATGAAATCACCAGGATGAACAAAATTGTTAAGCATTTGACAGGATTTTTTTATACAACCCTGGATTTGCAACTCGTCACAGCCTATTCCAGATAGATTCTTTTCTTAACGATACCCTACGGATTTGGTTCTGACTCAAATGCTTTTCTTCACCAGATTGTACTCAGCCAAAAGTTTGCCCATGCCCGTGAAGAAGCGGATTTCTTCACAAAGCTCAGTTTAAGGGCTGATGACGAAGCCGAGATGGTAGGTATAGAGGCCAATCCAGCCGCCAGAAACCACACCTTGTGTGATGTCTTGTGCATTACCCTGGGGGTTGTGAAAGAGAATTGAGTGACACTCATCCGGGTTGCCAAGCTGAAGGAGGCCATCCGTTCGCCATGAATTCGCGGGAAAATATGCAAAAGATGATTCAAGCAGTTCCTGCGCCATGAACAGCCAGGTTAATATCAAAATAGCGTCTTCGGCCTTCAAACGCCCCAGAGCTGTTTCTCTCCCTCGAGCCTCCCTTCACTTCAGGTAAGCCGCTCAATGCTCCTCGGGAGTATCCATTTTAGCGTTTTCAATGCCAGAACAAAAGCCAGTATCGCTCAATAAACCATGGTCTCTAATCATCAGGTAGTGCTTACTTCTCATAATTTTACATTACCAATCACGATTTATTACAGCAGGAGCATACGTCTGTCTTCCTCGGCCACGTTCGGTAACTCAACCTCGTTGTTGAACGATATGTAACGTGGCACCAAGACGGCAATAAGAAAAGACCCTTGGTTGACTGACGCAGCCACTTTCAACGGTCAATAGACCCGTTAAGGCATTAGCCACTCAGCCAAATATCCGAAATAATCGAACTAAGGTCTAGGCAGTCTAAATTCCAGCGCCGTTGCTTTTCATTCATCAACAAACAGGGTTCAGGCTTTGAGAAGGAAAATTTTGCAACCGCCCGTTCCGTTCCTGACTAGAAGAAGCACGGAACAGATTCTTGAAGAAATTTGAAGACCCGAGTGTCTGGGCCAAGAGGCACGGGCGCATGTGCTTGACGTTGGGCGCTGTGAAGGCGTTCCCAGGGCGGTCGCACGAGTCCAAGCCCTTTGAAGTGTCACCGATTCTCCAGGATATGCCAGGCAGAATTCGGGGTCCAATAGCACAAGTGAGTCATCTTATCTCCAGGCAACATGGAGTTACCCGGTCTCAACAGCTTGGGCGCCGTACACGTCCTTTTGGTGTGGTACAAGACAGTACATGAGGACATCCAGACCCTCAATTTCGGTCAACATGAGGCTGAAAGGAAATTTCATCGTAGCTAGTGGAAAATTAACAAGTGGTCTGTGTTGGCAAACATCGTTCATATGTGATAAATTCTTTGTTATTAGTCAATAGCCGTTTGTCTCGGCTCCAGCATTGATGGTGGAGTCTGGACCCTGAAATTCGAGGTCCGGCAGTCGGAAATCCTCCAGGCTGTCGTCGGTCCGGGAAAAAGTAAACGCGCACAGGCCATAGACTAGATCGCTCGGATCGGTAAAAGTGGGGCTTCGGCGATGAAGTCAGTCCATCTTGTCGGAGTTGACCTCAGACCCCGTGAATCAAATCAAACTCTTCCTTTTGGTCAATTCTCGTCTCTCCACACTTCAAGTTAGACCAGACCGTACCCGGCGTGTATCGGCCGTGCTATCAGTCAGCCATTACTCGCAATTGCCTCTCCACAACCGCCCGAACTCGTTTTGTCTGCTCACCAACAAACGGCACAACCTTTCGCGTCCGAAGTGGCTCACGGAGCTTCCGGTATCCTACACTGATTTCGTCAGCCCTACCGACCGACAATTGACCCACGATGCCGGCGTTTCAGAGCAAAAGGTTCCGGTCCGCGGCCGACATGAACAGCATCGGCATGCGGTACCGCACCCTCATGAACAAGCATCCCTTCCTCATGTTTGGTCTGCCTTTCATGGCCGTCATTGTTGCTGGTTCCTTCGTCCTTACGCCAGCCACTGCTGTCCGCTACGAACGCTACGACCGCAAGGTCCGCCAGATGACCAAGGATGAGGAACTCAATGTGCGCCGGTCTGCAAGGAAGGTGGACATGAAGGAGGAGTACTACGTACGTCTCAGTCTTGGAACGGGAGGGAGAATGTTGCTTGAGATGTGCGATTCACTAATCCTTGGAAACAGAGACTTGCTGGCAAGGACCTTGATGATTGGGAGCAGAAGCGCGTGAAGAGACTTCCGGGTGAGAATGATGGCGTGTTGTAAATGAGGCTGTACATGCTCCCTTGCCTTGTGTGTATGGAAAGCTATCACGAACATGAGAGATTCATCGATTTCATCAAGATCGATCTCCAGTGAAGGTTGCAAAAGACCACGATTACGACCGCATCGACGTCATTACATCTTCTCGTCCTTAATGTCGCGGTTGTTTCTGAAACACCGGGAAGCAAGGGTCGCCAAGGAGGGCAATGTACCATATGTAAATGGCATCAAAGGCGTTTTTGGCGTTTGGGAATGAGATCGCGTTATCTGTCTCTAGTTCTGTGTCGCGCAGAGTGAAATCCGCGCGGCTTCACAATCGTTTCGCTCAGAGGGTCCGGGAATTAGTGGGTTTAAGGCTGCAGGGACGAGCCGTAACGTCAGTGTTTGACCCAGGCGAATGGTCAAAGGGATATCAGAGACTAGTTGTGAGATGGAGATCGAGACTGAAGTGAGGACATCTAACGTCAGACTGACAAAGGATCGATGAGTCTATGGAAGTTCGATCTTGATTCTAGGTTATTGGAGGGTGAGATGTTTCACAGGCTTGAAACAGGTGGACGATGCGAGAAGGAGATGCCTCAAAATTGACAACATCGAACAAGAGACTCGAAACTACAAGGCTTCCAGCTGTGAGACTTGCATATGTGAGTCAGTTTGTGAGGTGCATATATCACGCACTGCAAGCACTAGTAGGTGCAATCTATACCCTACCGCAACATGCATTTAGACAGACAATCGATACAAGGCGTTATCAATGCACAGAACATCTTTATTTGGCGGTCTGCCAACAGTCAATGGCTTCAAATCACCCCTTGCATCGAGTCACGTTGACACAATGCCCCTGCATCTCGTAATTTCCAAGTCTAAGCTGAATCCGTTAAACAAGGCTCAGCCTAGGCATCATTAGTATCGCAGTACTTACCTTACCATGTACTTGTATTTTTGATTACTATCATGGGTTTCAAACCGCCCCGTCTCCGTTTTAATGGCAATGCGTGATCCTCTCAATTGACAGTTCATCTCCTCGTCGATCGGGACACGACGCTCGAGCCTCGTCTCCTCATAGCCTAGCATCTCAATGAGTGGCTGAGGTATCATCACATTGGCTGACGAGGCCAAGATATCACAGCACAAGGCCAAGCTAAGATTAACTAAAGCTGCTAAGAGACACGCCAGAGACGCAGGTATCGAGCGGGAATACGCGTAGTCAATGGATAAAGCCTAGAAAGCTTCAAATGGTACTGCTTTAGCTCACGATTGTAAAGGTAGCGCAGCTGCGCAGGGGCCAGAGCGCCACGCCGGTCCCCGCGTTGAACTGATCGTCCTGAGTGTCAATTGGAGGATCAGGGCTTTATCGATTGAGGTCAAATTCAACCGAGACATTTCTTCATTAGTTGGTGATCGTCAGGAGATTGTCACGAACACATGAGTTGCAATCGTGGTAAGATGATGTCGAGGTAAAAAAAAGTGTGGCCCGTATATTGGGTCGATGATGATGATATTGATGATAAATGGGGAAGGACTGAAATCAAGATAGAGGCAGCCGTCCAAACACTGGGGGGTTATAGAGGAGGGGTTGTGGCCAATGACAATTCGAGATTTACATGAATGTCATTGAAGGTATCTGCTCGTCGCTGAATGGCGGTCGGAGGCGATGGTGATCCTGACTATCATTAACGTCAAGAGATGGTGGTGAACTCGTGGCAAACCCGGAACGCAAGGTACAGTTTGTACCTGCAGGTACACACGCACCTCATACGTCTCAGCACATGGAAATCATCCCAAGTGTGTGTGGTAGTGTCGCATTCATACGATTGTTTCCGCCATCCGAGCAACCGAACAAGGCGCAGTACAGTACATTGACAAGAATACGATAACGTTTTGCCCAGCAGACACACCAGTTCGTGTAGGGTAGCAATCGGCCTAGATGCAGATGATGGTGTTTCGACAAACTCGCATGTGAGTGGACAGAGAAATCTTGGAAAGTTTGCCTGGCCCCCTGTCTGTAGGTCATATGTCTGTCTGGCCATGCCAAGCCAATTCGGCAATTAGCACCTTTTTCTCATGTCAGAATTGTTCGGAGTTGCGAAATGCAACGTTGATTCCCCGATACGGGAATACAATAAGCACGAGTAGAGCAAACAAACTGAAAGACGGGAACTAAGAAAGTTGCTGGTGTCGTAATTAATTTGTGTTCTAGATCCAGACTCAGACACGCAAGGATGACCGTGGTGTTGGTAATTGCAATTAACTTGCATGAGAGAAGGGACCTATAGCAGGCTACAATTGGGAATGGAGATCTATGTAACCTCACAGTTAGCTGGCGAGTCAGAAAACACTGCCAAACCAAGGCAAAGGGAATAAGAAAGTTTATTATTAGTGGATGCATCAATTAATCCTGCATATTCACCGATACCCTGATTTTCCCTGTCACTTTTGATTTTTGATCCAGGCAAGTTTTTCTTCTTTTAATTGCAGATTTCTGCGATCCTACAGCAACGATGTGATATCTCGATGCCCGATCCTGAAAATTGACAAAGAAGCAATAGTTGGCAGAGAGAGAAAAGAAAACATATTCCCGATGCTACGGTAATCTTCAGCTCAGCTGTGTTCGGAGACAGCGATAATAAATGAGCCTTCGTGGATTCAACGCCCAGGCGGGCCAATGGCACGGGCTTGCGGGCACTAAATGTCACGAAGCCACTCCCAAAGAGCTGGAAAAACAGTCCGGCTTCACCATGTCCGAACGACAAGGTTTTTGCGAGAAGCAAAATAGAGTACTTTCAAGATCCTTCAGCTAGGAAGAATTAGCGATCTGCATCGCAGGGAGGGAGATTACCCTGACTTTTGCAACATCGTGATTGCATTCGGACTGGGGCTCGGTCATGTTTACTCTTCACGATGCCAATTCAGTCTCATCGTGTCCGTGATTGTTCGGCCTCGGAGCCGGAGGTCAGCACTGCCGAGCCCTTTCTCATCTCGTTTATCAAATGCCAAGACAAAAAGCGAGAAGCGACTCATGATATCTCCATGGAATCGCTACCTTCTCTCCACTGATATCGTCATCGTATTCTTATGGTTTACACGAATTTACTTGTACGGTCTTGAAATATCAAACCCGGTCGTATCTCCACGACGAGACCCTGGATCGTCAGGTCTAGGATGCAGCGTACATGATGAGTCCTCCACCGTGAAATGGATGTGAATAAGTGGAATGAGGGGTTCAGCAGATTCACCGCCTGTGTTCAATTAACCAGTGACAGACCGTTGGCCGTTTTCGGATTCACGTTGTGAAGCGGTACCCATTATTTTCTCAATTAATTGCAAATGGGAAAAATGAAACATCCTCCACCGCCAACTCTATAATCGCGCTTGTGACCGGAAAGAGGCTGAACCGCTGTCACTCGTGAATTGCTTCGAGTGCTTGGCCCGGCCGTCATTCCTAATGCAAAAGACAAAGACAGAGTCAATTGTCTGGGGAAGAATGAAGATGAGGGGCACATGAGAGGGCACGGGATAGGCAGTCTCATGCACGATGCAGGTGAGAAATCGTATCACAAAGCTAGGTCGACCATTTTCATGTGGGTGATACACACATAGGTAGTCTACTGTATGCACGCCGCGCAGTAGCGTACACATACATTGGGGTTAGAGCATCTCGATAGATCTCAGCTCGACTGGCAATAGCGACAAGAGTAAAATGATGGTTGCTGGGTGTAGATTCAGCTTGTAGGGTTTAGTACCAAGGGCGGATGCAAGCGCAGATTGAATATCGATTCTGCTAGAAATTAGCCTACGCGATCGCGAACAAAGCACTTTTTTGTCTGAGAATCCCTACGGTACCTGCATCAAGGTCGAGAAGCTGCTTTATCGTCGGCGTACCTGATCGTTGACACCCACACGACTTCTTGGCACCGCTGTGAACCCCTCCACCGAGCGAGCGGCGCCGCCTCTCGTCCGGTCTTGGGACGCAAGGGGGTTGTCACATTGTGCGGAGCGAGCGGTGAAGACATTCACTCATCTGCTGTTGGTGGTTAGTGAGCTCCATTTGACTCCAGTCTCCATCTCCATCTCCATCCACGATGGATGAATAGCTGAAAAAAAAAATGCTGCAATAGAGTTTCGGCTGGCGCGCGAAACTGCAGCTGAGAGTTGTTGTTGGCTCATCGGAGCTGCTGCTTAATTCTATGGCAACGATAAACGCAACGGGTAAGTCAACGGTCGGAGTGGCCGCTCTACGCATGTTGTGGTTTTGAAATGGATGATCTGTTACTGGAGTCGTGAAAAGATGCGCAATAGGTGACGTTTGGTTATCGCCCTTTGGTGCCACGACAACTTGCTGTGCAATGCATTACGGCAACAGATCTGCGCTGGCGTGCACACGAAACCGCCAACCAACAAATTTTATGCTCAGTGACAGCATGATCTGCTATCAGCTTATACCTGAAGGAGCTTGTATCGACTCCATTCGTATACCAATTGTACTGTGCCTGTATCTCATGATGGGTTTGATTCCCAGGCCCAGGAATTGAATTGACTTACACCCAGACTCAAGCTCACGCTCAAGACATTTTGCTTTTGTTTCATTTCTACATAGTGTTCGCCCTGCATCTCATGCTTCTGAACATGGACCAGGCATTTCAATTGGGAGCGAGAATTCTGGACCGGAATCTTCAAGCACGGGCCTTTTCGGAGTATTGCTTTTTTCCCTTTTTCCAATCGATATCATCAATATTAATCAGACACGTCGTGACTAGACAACCTCCGCAGTTGCATGGGTTGGAGGCAGCCTAACGTGAATTGGCGGTGACCTTGTCGAAAAGGGCTGAAGTCAAGGGAGACTTGAAGAAGCAAATGGTGATAGACGTGAAGGTTTCGGTTCCAGCACGGGAGCTACCAGTTGGCGCTGGGCCTGATGACCTGTCTTGGAAAAAAGAGGCTTTTGAGGCGTGGTCTAACGAGAGGCAAGGTACCAGGCACAGCATTTCTAAGTCAGGTACAGTTGAGGGCCCAGACCCAGAGGCTGACAGTTTGTTTTTGGGGTGGATGGAGACTGAGATAGACGGAGAGAAAAAAAGAAAAGAAAAAGTGGTGTCCACTTTGATGGTGATGGGTCCGATAAGAAGAATGAGGCGTGTTCAAGAAGATCAATACCTGGATTCTACGGAGTGCGATAGATGTTTCGTCGAAAGGTTCGGACGAAACATGCCACAGAATTTGTTCTGACCTGTTCCTCGACGGTCCAGAAAGTAACCTCAATTCAGGTACTCGCAGGTACATACTCGGTTCTTGAGAGACAGGGGACGTTGATCAGCGGGACACCCCTGTCGTGTGCAGAGAGTATGGGAATCTTTGAGAGAAACTGCGTCAAAGGCAAGATCAGAGTGGAGATCTGGCCAAGACCAGGGCCAGGGGACAAGATCAGGTCTCCAGGTACGTGCAAGTACCAACCTTACAGTGCCTTAGACTCTGGGCGAGCAGGGATCCCACGCCCACTTCGGCTGTGACGGTTCGGTGGATGACGTTCATGGCCCCGTAAGCTCCAGCTGCACTCTCACTCACGCTCACTCACACTCACACTCAACGATAAAATACGATGGATTCATTATTTATAGACTTGCGCACTCCCACCCCCGGTTATCTCGGATCCTGACCTCAACAACCAAGTTTGGCCCTCGTAGCCTTGAATTCTCATGAGTATTACATCGATATTATAATATCGTCCGTAATACTTCTACTTTATATTAATTCAACCCACCACCCACCACTACCGGACTCTTTCAGCCATCACCACCACTCCAGGACGTATACGACTTAACACTCCGGTTACTAATACGTCGACCTGACCACCACCAATTGGTTTAGACAACCACAACCACAGCAACATGCACGTACTACACGGCTTCGGCCAGCGACGAAAGTCGTCTCGCCGCCCTCGAGATCTCCATATTCGAAAGGTCTCATTTTCAGGATCCTCCCTCTCCTCCGGCTGCTCTCTCTCATCATCCTCATCATCAACTATCTCCGCAGTATCGACACCATCCCTGCAAACACCAACAGCTTCTCGACCCGAAATCGATCCTCTCGCCTCACACCCCGCCGTCCACGCACCACCAAGGCTGTATGAACGACCATTTATTCGCATGGATGATGCCGAGCCTGTCTTCTATTGTGCCGACAATGCAGTGATCGATGAGGAGGACTATGTTGAGCAAGACGTTGCTGCTCAACAACCAACCGAGATGGCCCTACCTCCTCATGTCAGCCCAATGGATGCTGCTGATGAGGAGGGCAATGAGCCAAGGGATTACTTCTTCACAACGCTATCAAAACGACCACCGATGCCCAAGTCTCGTTGGTCTGAATCTACTATCCAGAGCATCCAGACCTTTGAGGATGAGGAGGATGACTCCGAAGTCACTCAGTCTGAAGACTCTGAAGATGAGACCGATGATGCTTCAGTCCTTGAGATGCGTCGTCTGTCACGACACGCCTCAGCACTGAAGCCTGTCTCCATCAACACAACCTATACTGCCCGACCTGGTCTGGCACCTAAGCGTCCTCCCATGCGCTCCCTGGACAGCGTCGACAACTTTATCCGACGCGGAGGATGGAAGCGTCGCGGCATCGTCTTCCACAAGGATGACCTTGACAACCAGCGATGCGAGCAGGACCGCAACAGCTTCTAAACTACTATCATCTTACACCACTCGCTCAACATACCCTCTCATATTTTGTTTATTTCATTCATGTCATGATATTTCGTCGATACCCCATTATAGCACATACCATCTGCTTCTCTTTCTTTGAATGACATCTTACGGCTGTTTTAACATCCTTCGGCCCACGATCCGGGCTTGACTCTTTTCTTTCCATGTCTATACACATCAATGGGGCCTGGAGTTTTTGTCCATATGAGCCTTGGGACTTTTGGGAAAGCGATAAAAGCGATCATTTTTGGGTTTTATGGGATTAGGAAGTATGGGATTATGGGACTTACGGCTTGGATATTGTGTTGGACACACATCTCTCACGGATCTTTCTACTACATATTACTCTACTATTACTCTCTCCCTGTCATTGGGCGGCATTCTTCTTGCTCTACCGAACAATCTACCATAGCAGTCTCTTCCTGAGACTGAATACTACATTTTGCCGTCTCCATATCCTGCAGCCTCGATTATCGTGCATGTCTCACTTTGCCCTGTGAAATTTTGGTACTGAGCCTAAACAGCATCCACTTTACATCTTGGGTCCAGATTGTGGCCCGAGCATTGTACTTCCACGCTGCATTTTCAGCCTCATGAATTTCCACACATATTACAATTCTGACGGGAAATAGTACTGGAGACGATGAGATTTGTTGGCGAGCGGCCTCACCGAAGCCCGGGCCATGGGAACTGGGGAGATTCACATCGTCATCGTCAAGTTGTGCACTAATAAGCGAGACTTTTGGCCATACTAGTCTCAACGGTCCCTGATCCCTGGCACTCACAACCGTGTTCTTTCTTCCTTTTTCTACTGATGACAAAATCATGGCACTGGAAATGAGTCACTTCGTGTTGGGGTCTTGGCGGGATATGGGCAGGGTTGCCTGCTGATAATAATGGTCCGATGGATTGCCTAATAAGCGAACGAGGCTGAGCTTCCAGAAGGTGCAAGGTAATCCGTGAAATTCCCCAGAGTCAAAGCCATTCCAAGTGCTGGAATCGTAACGTTGCCGGGGCCGAGGGCAGTGAAGAAGCCCTCGTCACGGCGGCCGCGGTATCCAGGCCCAGGGTTCCATGAAGATCATCAGGCCACGAAACTTAAAAGCCCAAAACACAGTGATCAGACACGATTGCCTAAAACCGTCCCTTTGCAATTTGCCTCTTCGTGCCCTTGCTGATCAATTGCACAATTCGAGCAAACGGTAATTCGCAACGGTCAGGCACGACATCAGGGGGAGGCGAAAAAGAAGATGAAAATCGAGGCTCAGGAATGGATGACTTCACCAAGATTGGCATGTGGCAAACCTGGTCAGCAAATGAACGTTGAGAAGTGAGCTCTACGCCTTGTTTCAGTTTGTTGATGTTTCACGTCCCCTAATTTTTCTAGCTACGTGTATCCGTAATTGCCCTTATGATGCGTGTCTACGCACAATGTCTCGATCATTACTCAATAGAAAGGCCAGAAGGTGTCTGATTTCTGGCCATGTCTAGGAATATGCGCTTATCGTAGATCCTGGGCCATGCAAAAGACGTCAGTGGTCGCGGGTAGCTGTTTCAAAACACGGGAGCGCGGGGAGGGAACGTTTACATTTGTTATGCAGCGCCGCGTACGGCGTGTTTCGTCACCAAAACATGAATGTCATCCATCGCGATATGATCAAAGACACTGCAGAAACGCTAAAGAGGCACCAGTGTATGCTGTCCAAAAGTACTCTTCGGTACTTAACAACAGCGCTACCTTGAGGTTATTCTGCTCCCTTGGCCATGCCATGTGGCCTTGATGATGTCCGGAACTTCCAAGGTGCGGGCGCGCCGCCAAGGACCCAATTACAGCCCATCATGACTGTCAACTTCCTTGCTCTGGGCTTTAACTTTGACCTTGGAACTTCGGATTCGGGTTCAACGGCAGCCGAAGGTCTATTCGTCGGCAGTGACTCTTCAAAGTCCCGAGCGTGAGGAAGCAGACGGGCAGTGGTGATCTTCCGTGTCTTCCGCGCCCGTTACAAAAGCTGCAAGGTTCACATGGATTAGTCAATTGAGCCGCAGAAGTCAGTTTGAAGTTGATCCGACCTGGGTAGGCATCCAGACAGCTAGACAGCTATTGTGGGGGGACGTCAGCTACCTGCTGCGCCTTAATGTGGACTGTGCTTGAGAGAATCTCGATGACGATGATATCTCAGCTAGAGGCACTACGTGCAGGTACATTCCATGCGTCTTCTTGACGTGCATTATCTCAAAACTTGACATGGGTCGAACCGGCCGTTTCAGAACATCAACTTCTTCCAAGAATATCGGCAACTTTGCACAGATATCTCGGCAATCCTTCGTAGTTACAGGTTATCCACTAACATTGTCTGCCCTGCTTGTTACATCAACTAAGAGACTCGTCTATCCCAAGTTCCCACCAATTCGGCATCCAATCGCATTAGAGAATTGCATGCTCCGGACTTTCGGCTCCTGCTACTGTAGCTGAACGGGCCTGCTCCGATCACTCTCTGCAGTGAGTGGGTGGGTGAAAGTGACTATGGATACGAACCACTACAGCCGAGTTGATGCCAAGAGCTTGGATGAGCTCAACTTGACGGAGCCCTGTGGTAAGCTACTGATGTTGCGAGATGACTCCTGGCCAACCACTTCAGAAGTGCTAGTTCTAGATCTACCGGCTAGCTAAGCTACCGGCGAATTCATACCCTCCCTTGCCTCGCCTATCACGTAAGACGAGATACAATATCGCTTTCACATTATAAGCAAGGCCATCACGATCTGTTCGGTCGAGTTATCGCACGATTCAACGATTTTCACACCATCACCATCATTAGTTGACCGAGGTTGTTTCGATGTCCACTAGGATATCACACTACTCAAGACTCTAAGTTCAGGGGAGAGTGAGGGTGAGTGAGGTTGGTCTCTTGGTTTCCATCACTTACTTCGTTCCTTTCCGGCTGTTTCTACAGCTGAATCTAAGCAATCCCTGCTCGCATCTTTATCGGTACATTGCGTTTCTATTGGCTTCCCGCCCTTTCGCATCAGACCCAGGGTGTCATGATAACGGAGAATTCCTGGCCCTGTGACCGATATACTCAGCAAATGTAGTATCAAGTATCTTTTCTGTTGACACGGATGTGGATTTATGGACAAGAACGGAATTTGGATGCGCTGTACTACAGAACAGAGCCGAAGTAACGCTTTGGCCTTCGTTCTCGACCACCATTTCCCACCACGACAGCGTTACATCCAATAATGGAATACTTTTACGACATCGCACTGAAGGTTCTGGAGTCGGCTTTAGCTTCAATGTGTCTGTTAAGTATCGTGTTGTCCATCGGAGGTATTTCGATGTTATGGCAGAGCTCTCTGATCAAATATGAGCGAGGTTCAAAAGTTCGGTAGAACTGCCTGCAAGACACTCTGTTGTCATGCCTTCTTTATGATGCATACCGAAGTAACTCCAACTGAGAGAGCTCACTGCGGTGGAGATTCATTTCCCACATTAATTTCTTCATTGTTGGTAAAGCTTGTGAATTCACTGTTGACATTTTGTGTATAATGTGATACTGTCCCATAACGATCTCCTATTATACATCGCGGCTCCAGGAAGGGCATCAAAGGGATAAAATACAATACAGAATAGTGATTTGTTCGAATTCAACATTTGTCTTGAGACTAGAAGTCATGAGGATGCGATGACCTTCGTGAGCAGCATTATCTCCTGCCGTTGTCCACTTCTCATCTATCGAGATATTTAACGTTCACTGTTCCAGCTGCCACATGCGATGATTGTATGATTGCAGTAGGAACTTGAGTGCAGACCTCACACTCCAAATATCGTTGAGACCCCTCCCAGTCCGTCTTCGAAAACTGCCATTTTGATATAGGAGCTTGAATTATCGGCCGTCGAGGGTAATCAACCTATATCCAATTCATAACTAGCTATTATCCATCATACGAGCCAAACTGTCCATTCTATGCTTAAAAACCTATACATTTCCATATCCCATTCTCATTACCATATACACATTCAAATCAAACAGTGCATTGTAGCAAAAAATTCACCACATCCTGCGTTGATAGTAAAGCCCATCCTCAGCCTGGGCTGACTTCTGAAGCTCTTGCTTGATCATCTTCCTCCTCTTTGCCTTGCTCACAGGCTTGTGGTTCTTGACTGGTGCCTCGACGTGTCCTTCTGGCGTTGACATCTTGTCCACCACTTTGGCTTGTAACTGTTTTATAATCTCAATGTTTCTCTCCAGTGCGGCATTGCCCTCAACATCGACATTGGGTTTCGTCTCCTTGATCTCAACTAAGAGCCGCTGCCTTCGCACTTCAATATCTGCTTCTGTGTCTATGTCGATAACCCGGCCATCCTCCAGCTCCTTCGTCCGTACTTGAAACTTCTCAGGGAGGTAGACTTTTGGCGACGGGCGTGTTTCTTGTCGTGGTTTGATCGCTGAGCGGAGTTGAGTGAGTGTTCTTTGCTGGATTATATAGCCACTAATAAAGAGCGCAAATGTACAAATAACCACTGTAGCAGAGTGTTTTATTAGCATGACATGACCAGGAATGCGGATAGCGGTGGAGAGGTTGAGAATATGTCTTACCAACGAAGCCCGATGCGATGACCTGCACTTGGCCGGATGAGAGAAGCAATCTGGCCATTTTGACGGAAATGCTAAATTGCAGTAATTCAGGACTGTAAAATGCTGAGCTGTCACAATTTTGCGTACCTCTTAGGTAGTTGTGAGTTGGTTGTCGTCATCCTTGACCGCTGTATAAGTGCGGTGTTGACATCGTTAACACAGCAACATCCTTATCAGCTTATCGGATCCAAGCTTCACTGATTTCCACCACCAAGCTTCCATACAGTCCCACCATATCCAACCTCGACAGTCGACAACTTTCTAGCCCACGATCACACAATGAGCAGAAACAAAGATACAGTTCACGCCGATGCGCGTCGTTTCCTCGATGAGCGTGGCTCCAACGTATCGGTCGCGCCAAATGGCCTCAATCCCGCGACTATTATGGAAAAAGCCGTCAAGGACCGCATCGTCGACTCATACTTTTACAAAGAGCAATGCTTTGCGCTCAACGAAGCGGATATTGTAGATCGCGTCGTCGAGCATGTCAATTTCATTGGTGGAACGTACGGCGTCACACAAAAGCCCAGTCCATTCTTGTGTCTTGCTTTCAAGCTACTTGAACTTTCGCCCAGCGATGCAGTGCTCATGGAATACCTGAAATATGGCGGAGAAGCTTTCAAATACCTGCGAGCGCTTGCGTGCTTCTACTTTCGACTCACAAGACAAGCGAAGAATGTGTACGAGATGCTGGAGCCGTTCCTCGAGGATAGGCGCAAACTTCGACGGAGAGGAAGGGCGGGCGTGGTGTTGACATTCATGGACGAATTTGTGGACGAACTGTTGACAAAGGAGCGAGTATGCGGTACAAGTCTTTGGAAGATGCCAAAGCGAGAGGTTTTGGAAGATCTGGAAATTCTCGAGCCAAGGGTCAGTCCCCTGGGTGACCTTGAGGATCTTCTCGAGGAAGAGGACGAAGCAGAGAAAGATAATGGGACAAGAGAAGAATCTGGAGAGATTTCCGATAGAGGCGATATGGAAGTCGATCGCGATGAGAGGAGAAGTCAGAGTCGAAGCCGCAGTCGAAGCCGAAGTCAAAGTAACAGCCGAAGTCGCTCACCTTGATCAGATGGACTGTCTCTGCACAGTACCCAAAAGAGTTGACCCGCAAAACACCATAATTCATCACTGAACGCCAGACCGCGTGGTTCCACTCTCCCGTCGCTTCAAGAGATTATGGGAAGTACCACTGCGGCGAGCGAACGACAAAGCTTCTGTCTGGTTCATCAATACGCCATGCGTAGCTCGACACATGGGCATTGCCTCATCTACGACAGCATCTACAGGTGTTGGATGTCTACATCAACGACACAAGACGAAAGAGATCGTATCATATTAAGCTGATAGGGCGACACTCAAAGTCGAGAATGCCAGAGCTAAGGCTTTGCATGCTTATCAGACCCTTCGCCTACTTGTTATACAGGGCACTTGGGTCACTCAACCTGGACCGCGGCAACCATACAACTAGCCGGATACGCATCCATGATCCCCATCCGATGCGCAACAGAAAATTTGATGGAGGACACGCGAACCACTCAGACATGCTCAAGATACTGCTGTCGTCTAATTGTTCTATTGTACAAGAATATCATAAAAGTCATCGCTTGTAATATATCTACAGTCATGCCACCAGTGATTTTAACCTTTCTGCCAGTTGAAGCACCCTCTGGTCGTCCCAGTATTGTCCGATGACCTGCAACCCTGCTGGAAACTGACTTCCCTCCACCTTAGCTGGGACACTCACAGCTGGTAAACCTGCCAAACTTGCCGGAACCGTAAATACGTCGTTCATGTAAACGTCTACACTGCTCTGCTGCTTGAGATCTTCCAGTCTTGGAGGAAATGTTGGCGCTGTAGGAGAGAGGATGAAGTCCACTTGAACAGGGCCGGTTTTGTCCTCCATTCCGGTGACCTCAGCCATGTCACTCAAGTCAAACTGCGCAGGCTCATAAAGGGGGTTGTCAAGTCGGAATACGCGATCAAAATCCTTCTGCACCATCCGCCGAACCTTTTGGGCTTGTATGAAGTAATTGTCTATTGCCTCAGAACTGAGGCTGTATGTGCCGAGGAGAATTCGTCGCTTGACCTCTTCACCGAAGCCCTCACCACGGGTATCAGAGTAGAGAGTCTCACCCATTGCATCGCTACCTTCACCACGCTTTCCGTAGCGAACACCGTCATACTTGGCGAGATTCGAGGATGCTTCCGCGGGAGCGAGGACATAATAAGCACACAAGGCTTCTTTTGTGGAAGGTAGAGAGATGGGAACTAGAGTTGCGCCCTGAGCCTCTAGTGCAGAGGCAGCAGAAACCCAAGCGGCGCGGATAAAAGGGTCAAGCTCGTCAATATTGTATTCAAGAGGAATGCCGATATTTAGTCTCGATAGCTCAGGAAAGGTGGATGGTATTGTTGAAGCACATCGGTTTCGGGATGCGGCGGGTAGTGATGTTGGATCCGAAGAGTCATGTTCGTTGTGCATGCCAGTCTCGAAGATGAGGTGATGTATCGGCTTGACATCCTTAGACAAGAAGCCGACTGTATCCAGTGAGTTTGCGTACGGAACCACGCCAAACCGAGAAATCATGCCATAACTAGGCTTGTAACCAACTGTTCCAGTATATGCCGCAGGCAGTCGAATTGAGCCACCTGTATCTGTTCCTAGGGCGATATCGGCATCGCCTAGTCGTACTGCAACGGCGCTTCCACCTGAGCTTCCGCCGGCTGACACTTCGTCATCCTTGGCCAGGGGGTTCCTCACTGCGCCATTCACTGAGTTTGTCGAATGGGATCCTATACCGAATTCATCCATGTTGGTCTTTCCAACCACTGTTGCTCCGCGTTTGCGCAGTTGACGAACCACAGTAGCTTCGAAGGGTGAGGAGTGAGAAGAGAGAATGGCTGACGCGCATTGTGTTGGGAAGTCAGAGGTTGCAATATTATCCTTGATAGCCAGAGTAAAAGGCTTCACTTCCTTACACATAAAAGGAAGGAAATCAGCATTCGGGTCTGTGGAGGCAAGCTTGGCTGTATTTGTTAGTTGAGTTCGTTTAAGCAGATGAGAGTTGCTCACTGGGACCAACAAAGTGGTTGTAGTTACTATGAGAACGCCATTGTATTGCAGGTCGTACACAAACTCTCGGACAAGACTTGATGTGAAATGGAGATGATTTATGGGCTAATTGCAGCACACGAGACGCGCTCATGGTGGACTTATTATCAACATGAGAAATTGTTATACTTAATGTGTCAGTTGAGGGTCATGCTCAAAAAAGCGGGATGTGCTGCAGCTTTCTGCCTTATCGATAAGACACATGCAACTCATCTTTCAAGGGTCCGATCCCATCCTCCTAGGTAATTTCTCCAAGCTCGAACAAGCATCATCACCATATTAAAATGGCAGCCAAACGAGATCTCGAGGACACCGATGACGGCGAAGTATTAGCCCCCCAACCAAAGCGACCAAAGAAACAAGGCGGCAAAACGCGACAACACCAAAACTCTGGCATCGACCCAACCTGGGGCCAGAAGTATGTCTTCGCAGGAAACGGCAATACAACCACGATCCCGGAGGGAGAAGAGGACGATTTCGAAGATGATTCAGAAGCGATGGCATATTTAAACTCTGTCAGGTATGTTATCCTCTGAAGCGTGTTTGTCGACTTTGCTGAAGATCGCAAAACTGTAGAGCACGGATGCTGATATGGTGAGTATTATAGACAAGAAGCGAACAGGATCCCCCATCTCCTCGTCGCGCCAAAAGTTCAAATAGGACCCCAGTTACCCCCCGAGCTTCGAAGCGATGATCAAGAACAAGACGAGCAACCTATCGACAGGAGTGTATACAATGATGGTGTCGGTGATTCTCGGGGCTGGTATGAAGACGGCGCATATATGGCAATGCCCGACAACGCGGCTGAAGACGACGGTTACGAAGGCGACGAATACCCGGATGGCTACGAAGATGAAAGCTACGAAGAAGCCGCTCTGAATGAAGCTTACTTTGCATCGGTTATGGACCAATACCTCCGCTTACGGTCGATTCTTCACGCCGATCTTCCCTCCAATGCCGTCTCACGTGTCGTCAAAGCCCGACTAAAAACTGATGCACCTGCGGAGAATCAATCCGCGGCGATAGCCACATGGTCACGACTCCTTCGCGAAACCGATCCCCACCCACTTCAAGTCGCCCTGATGTCTAAAGACACTACACTACGCATTCTGCGCATTCTTCTTGGCGGTAAATTCCTTCGTCAAGGGTACACACTTCCAGAACGCACAAGCCGTTGGATCTGGGCACTGCTTGCTAGAATGCCGGACAAGGGCGAGCTTAACTACGCCGAAATTGGCTGGATTCGTGACCTTGGCCGCAGAGCAGTCCTCTTAGGTCGGAGCCTAGCAGAGATGGCGGCTCTAAGGGAGGAGCTAGCAGAGGGTGGACTAGGTGCCCATGAAGCAGTTGATGGGAGCAGTAGTGATGAAGAAGTTCTAGCAGACCCAGAGGATATAGAGGTTGAAGGTGCTCTCAGCTCTGGGCAGGATGAGGACGAGCCAAAACTAGCTGGGTCCAGAAACGAGGCTGAGAAGACATCCAAAGGCACGGAACCCACAGCAAAATCTCCCCCAAGGCCTGCTGCTGAAGAAGGTGAGATAGAAGACGAAGGCGAAGACGAAGATATGGCTATGGAGATCGCGACCGACTCAGAAGCCGAAGAAGGTGAAGTTGCTGCCCAGGAGCCCCAGGAGAACCTCGAGGCAGCAAGAGAACGACTACTCGCTCGGATCAGTAATGGAATGACCTCAGAAGATGAGGAGGATCTTGAAAAGGAGAGCGCCAAACAGCGACTGCGAGCAAATTTACGTGCAACTCTCAACATGATCTTGACGATAGCCGGTGAGTTTTACGGACAACGAGATCTGCTAGAATTCCGAGAGCCATTCGTTGGTATGTAAGTTGTTGGACGAGGATATAATTGTAGGTCTTGTAACGACCGGTTTGTCTTATTTGCATATAGCATACAGCGAGTCCCGATGCACTTTTGCCTTCCAATAACATACAACCGCTCTGAAGCATTAATAAATCATAATCCTGAACGCCCGACCCAAAGCTTGTGACGCCGTGACATAGCTTCTAGTGAACATAAAACATACAAAGCTCTGCTTGAGCCAATGAACAACACTGTGACTTAGTTGGCCATATCCATTTCGGGATTGACGAGGAAATCAGCCTCGTCAAAGTCAGATCCTGAGTTGCGGTTATCCTGGCCAAAGCTCCTTAAACCGGCACCCTTTCGTGAAACTGGGATAGCCATAACTCGAGGGTTTCCATGGTTGCCCATGTCAAAGCTCGAGTCAAGCTCATCGTCATCCTCGTCGAAAATTCGCTTTCGAGAACCGTCGTGGGACTCGCCCTCCGCACTCTCTTGCGACATGGTGAGTTCGGGGAGAGCGTCGAGGTCTGGTACATCATCCTCGAATTCTGGCTGGGTGTCAAGACCGCCGACCTTGTTGATTCCACAGAAGGGGAGAAGCTCTCGGGAAACACCTTTGCCGGCTGCCTTTGCAGTGGCTGGAGAAACATGGACAGGTGCATTATCTGTCCAGAGCTTGAAAGCACTGGTGCCCTTTGTCTTGTAGCCTTCGGGAACGGACTTGCGAACTCGCATACCGACACTGAGAAGGTTGGCCTGGACGTTTGAAGGAAGAGTAGGTTGCATGGGCTTGTCGGCCTCAGCAATCGCAGATTCATCGGATGATCGGGCATTGAAGAAGGAAGTAATTTGGCGTTGAGATGGGTCGGCAGAGGCGCCGGCGAATTGACGCTTGATACGAGGAGTAGACATGATGACAGATTTAGAGCAAGTTGGATTGAAGTTGTAGTGTTGATGATTGATCCAAAAATAATCGTCTGTTACGCTGACGGAATGACGTTGTGGTTAAGATCGCAGTAAGCAGCGAAAGACAAGAAAGTCAAGTACAGAAACAGAGTTCAAGAGTGGTAGAGTGGGGAGTTTGTCAATGGACAGAATTGAAGAGAGGCAAGGTCTTGTAAGAACGCAAATGACGTCGCAATCGAGGGGAGAAAACAAGGGTTCAAAAGGAGAACAGAGCGAAGAGGGGGCTTCTGCGTGAAACAAGTCGAAGATATTGGCTTGTTGCTGGGGTGAGGAAAGGAACAGGGTCAAAGAAAGTGAAGCGCCCCTGTCTTGCCCCAAGACGACGGCGATCCCCAAAGCGGTCTTGACAGTCCAATCATCTAACAGCAATTTCTCACTGTGGGACCCGGACTCCCGCGTTTTGACGCGATCTTGTCGTGCCGCTTTCGCGTAAAATTGAGAATTGAAGATTTGGCTATTGGCCCGCTGAGTCATCTGACAGTGCACTTTTATGTGATCAGCCTCACTGTGTATTCAGAAAAAGAGACCGAAACACCGTTAAATGCTATGTAGGCGTACACAATTCAGTATTCATGTACGGATTAAGTTTTAGTTTTATTTATGTAGGCATACTAGGTCAATATGAAAGACTAGATATCTAAGAAGTAATTCTATCAGAATGGTAGAATGGCTTGATCTTGCACTTTTCACCGCAAAGATCAGCAAGGGTACAGATAGAGGCAAGGCGGTGGCAAACCAACACCTGAAGGCAAGCTAGCAAGTTCTAGCAATTTCAGGATCGACAACGCCGAACTTGAATTGCTTTAACATAGGTACTTGTAGTTGAAGCTCCACTTCGAATTTGCCCTCCATGGTAAGCCTAAGGCCAGATGAAAGACTTACCAACTCGGGTATATCATCACACGAGGTTGTCACATGAGTAATACAAGATCATCCACTGTGTCAATGTACTAGTATCTTTTCACGCTAAAGACTTTCACGGGCTAAGTTCGGGTTTTATCATGAAATGAAGCTGAAACTATGAGGAAACCAAAATCTGTTTGATAGTGGATGTTCTGAGGTTCAGATCTTCACGAGTCTCATTCCATCCAATGATCATCAACTATGACTAGAACTACATTGCATTGAGCTTAAGGCGAAATACCTTCAAACATCATTTCGCGGGGTAATTGGTTCCCCAGGTTCTCATGAAAATTAGTTAACATTAAATTGCTTAGTTGAGTTGCCTTAGGCTTTCATGAGCGGCAGAGCGGATGAGCCTCTCCGCGTCGAGTCATCCGGTGGGTGAGTCGACCACCAAGGAAACTGTGAGGAGGGGTCTAGGCTACTGTCGATGACGCTGTATACCACCAATCATCATCAAGTAGATTCAACTCAGCAGCGATAGCTCTGGTGAGGAGTATGGTCGGCAAAGATTAATAAGAGATAGAAAAGTCATAGCATCATAGCACTTCATCAATAGTAGTGTGCTCTACGACAGGCACGATAGCATCACAACTCAATCGCATCGACTAGAAACATTCACGTCAACAAGAAGGTGATGTGGAAACCATTGTGAATTTCGCAAAAGCACAGTGACCATCCTCCGCTACCCACTGCACCCGGGTATGAAGCGATCATCAACCAGCGGTTCCACGTCCTCGTGTCCAGCTAGCCTAGCCAGGCCAGTCCGGACACTCGTGAAGGCTTTCTCCAGCTTTCCACCCATGCAGTGCTTTTTTTTCCTTCCTGCCTCGAGAAGACTCTTTAGTACAAGGCGCGCAACGGAAAAACAAAAAGAAGAATGATGTGCCATGCAAGATATCCGGAGACCCCAAACGCCCCTATTCTGGGTGCCCCATCTTCTATCTGCAAAGAGGTTTTTGATAGATGTTCGCAACGTCGGTTTGTTCTATCCGTCCATGTCGAGGTTGTGTTTTTGCAGATCCGAGATGACCACCATGAGTTGAACCGTAAGAGTCATGAGTACCCAAGGAGATAAAACCGCCGCGAAGCAGTCTACTTCCGTCGGAAAGAGCAGCCCTCGGTCAATCTAGCCTTACCACCGGTAGGCTGGCAGAGGACAGTGGTGCATCCCTGGCAGATGACGACGGTCTGGGCGTGGGAGAAGACGGTGGTGATGGTGAAACATCCGGGGCACTTGACGTCCATGAAGAAGGATCGAGGGGCGGGCACGAGGGTCTATTATTGTCAGAGTTTTGTCGTTATTTGAATTTGTCGATGCATCGTACCTTGAGCTTGTGCTTCTTGGCCTCGGCGGCCGGGGAAGGGTTCAGAAGATCAACGGCGAGAACCTGAAAAGGCGGAGAGTCAGCCAGCTTGTCCCATCATCTTGCGTGCGTCCTTTGCGTGTCCAATCCATAATCCATTGTGCCATCGACGTCGTGGTCGATCAAATTGATACTTTTGCCACGGGCAGCAAGAGATCTTTTCGAGGTCGATGCTTCCCACGTCCTTCACACACGTGGCTGTCGTCCATCCATCTCCCATCGTAGGTCCATCGTAAAATGCGTCAGAAAAAGGCAGTCGCTTACCATCTTGTCTGATTTTCTCGAAAAAGTCTTGTCGGTTTCTTGCGAGAATGGGAAAGCTTGACGAAATCCGGGATCAGATTTGAGGCTCGCAAGGTGGGTGGGAAGGAGGTAAGCGAGGAAAAGTTCGGTGGCTCTGAGGGGGACGACTGCTTCTTGCCTCTGGGCGGATTCCGCTGCCTAATCGGGTAAGCGCAATAGGGTTGTAACTTCCTCACACGTGATGAAAAAAAAACGGGCGGTAAAATTGTGGCCTTGTAGGGTAGCCCGGTGTAACATAGAGCCGGACGGAGCTTGTGCAGGTGAGATATGCTTGGAGGGGCTTATGCGAGTTATGCATCGAGAGCTTTGCTAGCTGCCTGTATCTGTACGTAAGCCAGTCGGTGATTAGGAGGAGCCTGAAGTTGAGTTGCGTCAGTCGGTCGTAGGCTGCCACTTTTAGACAATACAAATTGTACTGAGGAGACTTTGGAGAATTGCTTCTATTTCTTCAGTCTCTCAAAATGTCTAATCCATTAGAACAACGCATCAATGTTCCTATTGACGACCCAAATGCAGACACAGAATGGTAATTCTCTGCTACCCCTCCATACTCATGAGCTAGCTCAAACCCCGCCATAGGAATGATATTCTTCGAAAACATGGAGTTATTCCTGAGAAGCCACCCAGCCCGACTCCTATGATTGAGGAGGCCATCCTTGAAGGTCGAAGATTGGCACATGAGAATCGCTTGGAAGGCAAAGACCTCGACGAATTGGACGAACTTGAAGACGACGAAGATGAAGCTTTCTTGGAGCAATATCGCCAAAAGCGCATGGCCGAGTTGAACAGCCTACAAAAGAAGGCTCTGCATGGAAGCGTATATCCTCTATCGAAACCCGAGTATCAGCGCGAAGTCACCGACGCATCACAAAATGGACCAGTTTTTGTCAACATGACCTCTTCAATGGGCAACAATGTTGAGTCGCGGGTCTTGACTGAGCTGTGGAGACAAGCTGCGAGGGAGTATGGCGAGATCAAGTTCTGTGAAATCCGAGCGAGTCAAGCCATTGAGAACTATCCCGATCGAAACTGCCCAACAATCCTGGTATATAACAAGGGGGATATTGTGAAGCAGATTGTAACATTGGCTACAATTGGAGGCGTCCGAACAACCATGCAACAGATTGACAACCTCTTGGTCGAAGTTAGTGCTGTACCTGATTCTGACATGCGTATTGTCAAGAGGAGGCAAGCTGCCGAGGATGCTGAGGAGGAGAGATTGGCTGGCAAATCTATCAAAACGGGAACGGCTGGAAGGTCACGGAACGTTGACAGTGAGGATGATGACTGGGATTAAACGCGCTACGAAAGAAATTCGTGGCTTTGGTCTAAGGGACCATGAGATTGGCCAGCGTCAGACATTTTGCAAATCTCCATGTCCCAACGCAACTCCGTAACGGATGTTGCTCTAGTTCTTGTCAGATGTGACAGAAGACCTATGCGGCTGGCCCTCTAATGACAACTCTTCGAGAAAGATCGGGTTTGCACTCTACAATATTTTCAGAGTCTCAAAACACCACTTGCTCAACCAGGCTCAAGACGGGAAAGGGAACTGCATATTCCCGTGAGGGACAGTTTCGTACATTATCCTTCCTTGCTATATGACAAGTTCAAGACGGGGCGTTGATCAACAATTGGGAACCAAGAGGCCCCGTGGCCATATATGCGCATAGTGCACGCGCATAACAAAATACACATGATTCCTAAGCATTCTATCACCGCGTGCTGTGGGCAGTGCGATGGTATGATCGCTGAGGCTGCTAGTGTAAGATCTTCCTGTAAAATACAAACTCCAGAAACTGCTGTACTTGTAATTGGGATGTTTCCAAGCGAGGTTTGAATACTCGTTGTATCAGTAGGGTCTTACGGCATATGCTTATCATATCAAGAATCTGTTGTAACACTGAGCCACATTCCCAAGATGCACAAGATGACCCTTGCAGGCCAAGAGACAACAAAGATCAAAGCTTGCTTGTCTTGCTGATCCGGGTTGCCGGGATTACTAGGCGGCGTCGCATGCATGTACTTGAAAGAGACAGGGGACAGGCTGTGATCTGACCAAGGGTGTAAGTGACCAAGTCCACGAGTAGTGACACAACCCAGCCCTAGCGATTCTCCTGTATGTAAGCATCAGCGAAGTTAGCACGCGTGCAAGGCAGGTCTGTAAGTTTGCGAAAAGACAGTGCAAGGTATCATTAAAGCCCCCTTCAATCTGTTACTCCTTCGAACGCCATTTATCCAAATATGCTTGCTAGCTTTCCTCATTTGTGACTGTGACAAGATTTCCACTCAGCAGCCCCCAGCTGCTCTTATCAATGTCTCCCGGGCGGCATCGCCATGAGCATCCCCGATTAACGAATGGTATCGTCCTCTCGCCTTCTGCCATACTCAACGGTGTCATCCGTACAAGGGCTGGGCTATCGTGGCTAGCCCTGTTACAAGCCCGAACTTCTCGCCATTCAACCCACTTGGTGGTGGGAATGATCATTAATTTCCGACAGCGTGAGCACGACAATCCGCCAGCCTCCTTCTGCCTTTGTGCTCGCTCCAGGAGTTTCCTGAGATGGTTGAGCCCTTCAGGGATGTAGTACGGCATCTCTGAAAGCTGAGTGCTGGAGTAGCAAGCTCGAAGAGCTGTCTCGAGAAGACTAGGCACACGGCTTGCACCTTCGAGGCGTTGTGACTCTGTCATGGATGAAACTGAGGACGATGGGCAAAACTCAGGCTCTCCTTCATCAATGGGCAGAATGAGTTTTGTATGGTCTGTTGGGAACTTGAAGTCTGAAAGAATTCTTCCCGTACTGTCTGAGAGCTGTAGAGGACTTCGACCTAGTGCACGACTCACTAAACGTGGCGTCGGCGAGGCTCCCGCCTCGGCCTGGAAGAAGAGTGTGCTGCTCAGCTGAGAATCCGTCGATTCTAAGCTCTCATTTGGTTGCCAGAATGGATTAGGATGTACAACAAGTTTGTCAAGTTTGCTATCTGGTGCGAAAAGCTCCAGCAACTCCATGGGCAAATGCCGTAAACGATTATGTGATACGTTGAGTTCCTTCAGATGGTGGAGTTTCGCAACAGCGGGGGGGAGTTCGGTGAGCTTGTTATGGCGGAGGCTCAGGATTGTGAGATGCGTTAGATCGAAGATGGCACCAGGAACACGAGTCAACCGGTTCTGGGCCATATAGATCTTAAGCTCGGGATCCTTCTGCTCGAAGGCAACATCCTTGGTCACGACAGGGATGCAGGTAAACTGCGACAAAGGACTAATTGTATCATTTGAGACATCTTCCAGTCCCAATGACCAAAAGTCAATTGTCTCCTCGCCCGCGTCAAGGCAGGCACGGACTCTGTCACGCGCAACTTGTTCAGCTCTTGAGACGCGGCGCACGACGCGATCAAGTTGCGGAAGTCTGGGTTTTGGAACTTCGGGTACTGTTTCTAGTACATCGCTCTCATTACCATCACTGCCGAGGAAGACACCACTGTCTGCCTGTCGCGTCCACTGACGCCTCTGCTTGGGGACGTGAAGCTCACTGAAGGTTGAGTCGGAAGAGGTGGGATGTTGCTGGAACCATGAACCAATGTACCTCTTCTTTCGTCTCCCCTCTACATAATTGTCCAATGCTGGGTCATCGTCACTGGAGAATATGGCGGGATCACTTGAATTGTTGAAAGTTGAGGATGGCGCGTGCTTTGAAGCGGCGTTGCGGACGCGTTTCCGAGGATTGTTGCTAAAGGTTTGCGATTGCTCATCCCACGACACAGCGGGGAGAACAGGTAGAGATAATTCTTCCGACGACATTAGCGATAAATAAAGATGATTTCTTCAAACTGATGTTACTCGAAAACACATGAAAAAAGATTTGAAGTGGTGCAAGAACTGAGACCTGGCTTGTCCAACGCGACTCGACTTGACATTGGATGCAGAGTGACGATGGAGACCTAATGGAATACAGGGTTCAATTGCCCCCACTGACGCACTGAACCTGCCATGAACCTTTCCGTTACTGGGTGCGCACGTGCCATTGCCAGCCACTCGGCCCCTAGCGAGCCGGCGGTTTCAGGGTCCTCACCAAGATTCCATCAGTGAACACGATGGATGGACCCATTGATAAGATGATCAGATAACGGCAAACTCACAAGTGTGTCCTCACTTGCTTTTCTTCTTCTCATCGATTTCGTCTCACATTCATTGAAAAGCCATTCTATTGAATTAGATATGATCCTGGTAGGGCCATCGCGGTAGTATTCTACTATAACTCCTTTCTTGCGACCAAAAGGGATTGGAGACGAACTTCCACACAGCAAGGCCACTTACCACAATGAAATTTCCAATACGGAGTACGATTGAACTCTTTGGAGTTCTCATTAAAATCCCCGAGGCATAGTGAACACATATAAATGCCTGCTCGAAAATCCGGTCAGCAATGTTGAATGAATGGGCAAGGCTACAAATGTACTACTACTATATTGCACCAAATGTCTATTTTAGCTATGCGCTCAATTTACAAGACGATTGCCTTATTCACTTGCCATTCACTGACTCTCTTTGTTAATTGGTCGACCTCCAACAGGACGAATCATCAGAGGAACTATGACATCTGAAGGACCGCCCCAGCTCGAAAAGTCAGATGTATGGCGATCAACTTCCTCGAAGCCAAATTTCTCATAAAGCTTTCGTCCTTGAACTGAAGATTCTAAACATGCCGGAACGCCCAGACGATCAGCTTCCGCAAGGCCCGAATCGAGCAATAGGGAGGCTGCTCCGCGTCTGTGGTGCTTCGGGTCCGTATGCAGGAGTTTCAGATCTGAGGGTTTTGGCTAGTCAGAGAACATATCTAATAAAATCCAATATTGAGACATACAAACATATGGCTTTCCTTTCATGTAATTCACCCTCATGTTGTCCATACCTCCGAAGAAGAGTTCGCATGCTTCCGCATTACAGCTCGGTCCCCGATAAGAAGGGAAAGAATGTTGCTCCTCTGTTGGTGGAGTCTCCCAGATATACCACATAGCAAAGGCAATCATCTGGTCTTCCTCTTCCTCTATATCAGTATCGATGACTTTGGCCCATCGACAGGCCGCATCCTTCCGGCGAGAGGCAATTAGATCCGCGACTCTTGTGGAGGACTCAGAAGTTCTCCCCCCTGGAAACAACACTGCGCCTACTGGACTCGGGCCATAGGCAACGGTCTCAATGGCCACAGCTCTATGGGCATCGGTTTCGGTAGCTGGCAAGACTTTGAGAGGCATGATGCACACTTGACGATGAAGAGAAAATTCACATTGATAGGCACAAGACACTACTACCTTAAATAAATGCCGGCTCCTTCGTACACTACATTTACATGGGTTTACGACTTCACATCAATCCTCGGCGAGCCTGAATAGGCATGTCGTTGAGCTCCTGTTCCGCTGTCGGCTGGGACGGGATCTGGGGTTTAGTGGGGCAATACTGACAAAATCCTGGGTAAGGAAACGAAGAGTACCCCCAACAAACAGCTCCAGAATCGCAAAAAAGAAGAGACAAACTCTTACAAAATGATCTTAGCTGAGAGCTTGTTCTGAGTCCAGCTTTGGATTGCACCCTCTTTGCTTCATCTTCAGACAGGAGTGATTAATGGCTAGTCAAGTGGAAGCTTCGAGCTGCCGAGGCCGGTTTAAACCGTTATCGATACTCGGATAATCCAACAGCCGCCACCGAAAAATTCCCTATGCGCGATTCAAGGCCCGGTTGGCCGCAACCTTTTACGGCGACCTCACATTTTTCAATACCAAACCTCGCTGTCATCAGCCTCGTCCTCGAACCCTCGCCCTCCCCCACCATTACAACTTTAATACACATAATCAGCCATGGATCACGGACGAGACCCCTGCCCTTGGGTCATTCTTAATGACTTTGGTGGTGCTTTTTGCATGGGCGTAAGTTTAGCCCTACGTGCTGTGGACGATCGATTACAGCGACAATTGCGATGACCGTAAACCGGGACGCAGCTAACATTTGCCTTACTAGGCTATTGGCGGTACCATTTGGCACGGAATCAAGGGCTTCCGCAACTCTCCCTATGGTGAGCGACGTATTGGCGCCATCACAGCTATCAAGATGCGCGCCCCGGTTCTCGGTGGTAACTTCGGTGTTTGGGGTGGCCTCTTCTCAACGTTCGACTGCGCTGTGAAGGGTGTTCGCCAGAAGGAGGATCCTTACAACGCTATCATTGCTGGTTTCTTCACTGGTGGTTCTCTCGCCATCCGAGGTGGCTACAAGGCCGCCCGAAACGGTGCCATCGGTTGTGCTGTTCTTCTTGCCGTCATCGAGGGTGTTGGTATTGGTTTCTCCAAGATGCTTGCTGGTAGCACCAAGTTAGAAGCTCCTCAGCCTCCACCTCAGGAGGTCACTCTGTGAGCCAGCATCTGACGAAACGAACTACTATGATCGATAAATGACGATCGAACAACCTTCGACTCCCCCACTCTCAACTCCACCACCACGACCAACAAATCCTCCGGGTCGGGCTTTCGAAGAGCCATGCCTCTTGTATTTTAAGCACCAATATCACCATCACCACGAACAAAAATCTGGCAGACGTTTTAATCCTTTCAATTCGCATCGGGTCGGCGTTCCATGTATAATAGAACAAGATATCGGAAGGGTTTCGGGAAGGTGGAATCTGGGTTAGCGATGGAGTTGCCATACTTCTTGCGAATACAGACTAACTTATGTCTGATGAGGAAAAAGAGAGCGACTGTGTATTATACCAAGCGATTGAGAGAGACTTGGGAGTGCACGTGGACCATCGGGTCCAAGAGATATTGGAATGGGAAATTCCTACTGCAGATATTTATGCTGCATTTATTTATCGCGGATTGGGTACAGAACGAATATAAATGACATTTCTGTTCACTCTATGGGCACTCATTGCTTTCGCTTGTCTATAGGTCGCTCGACGGCTCATTGCTGAAGATGCTCATTTGGGGCTTTCCCTCGTCATCAATCCAGGCTCGAAACATGCCTCCGCAGTTGAAATCCATTAGGACTTCAGACCGAGTCTCAATGATTTGGCCATGCGAATCACGAACGACAACACTCTCGATGCCAATGACGCCGCCTTCACCCTCACCTGTCCGGCGCCATCTATCACCCGCACTTCTTTCCAGCTCTCCGCCTGGGCCTGCAACATGGGTTACAGCTTTGGAACCCGACTCTGGTTTCCACCTCGCCATAGCTGCAAGGGTCCGTAACGCATTTGTCCTCAGAAAGGAATCGCCGTTGCCAGTTCCAGAGCCACCGATGGATCTCGTGGTTGAGACTCGTTTACCACTGAGCTCGAGGGGAGTATACGTCACAGGAGTCGGAAAGCAGTCTGCCAAAGTTCCTCTCAGAACATCGCTGAGCACCAGTGAGGGGCCCGGCTGGGTCATGGCATGCTTCAAGCGATCCCTCGTGGACGACCCGGTTGGATCACCATCCTCGGTCCATTCCTCTGCCCAGAAGCCTGACCCAATTGCAGGCGTGTCGCCAATACGACCAGTGAGCTTATTCGTCAGACCTCCTGTACTGGTTGCGGCGCAGATCACGCCGTCTTGATCAAGGGCTACTGCTCCGCATGTTCCTTGAGGTAGATACTCAGTCGCACTCCAGGTTGCTTGCCCCTGACCTTTCTTTTCTCTCGCAAGAGCCCGGATATGCTCATCCCAACGACGTTGGGTGAAGAAGTAACTAGGGTCGACAAGTTCTAGTCCGTACTGTTGCGCGAGTTGCTCGGCGGCCTTTCCATAGAGCTGTGTATGTCCCTGTGCGGATGGGACATCAAGATCGCCTGACTTGGCTCCTCGGGGATTCGCCTCCAGATCGTCTTCGCCATGTTCAAGCATTGTTCGGGCTAGGAGGATGGGATTCTTCACATGGCGTAGACCCATGACACCGACACCTCGCTTCTTATAACCACGGGATACCATGACTGAGGCCTCTAGTTCTATGACTCCATCGCGAGTGAACACAGCGCCGTGTCCGCTGTTGAATAGGGGATTGTTCTCCAGAAGACGGACTGCGTAGGTTGCGGTATCTAAAGCTGAAGGGAGCTTCTTGGATGACTTTTCCGAGACTATCTCATGACTTCTCATGTACTGGTCCGCTCTGGTGACCTAAAAGACCAATTAGATACTTGGGAATATGGGCTTCTCATGCTACCGTTTATGAACTTACAATGTCAATGAGAGCTTTACGATAAGCCCGAAACTGTTCCGGTGGGTACGTATCGCGCTGGATATTACCTGCGCCTCCGTGAATGATCAGACGGGGCTTCAGTCTCGGTGTTGTTTGTTCTTGAACTCGGTACTCCATCTTTGGTGGTCACAACCAAGTTATTGGAACTTAGAAACCAAGATAGTGAAATCAAGAGATGGACAATCTCCCCTCACTGGTTGCTAAAGATGAGCATTACGACATATACGGAGCCCCACTCGTGATCAAACCCAACCTGGGCTCATCCGGGCAATGAGAGGAGATAATGACATATTTTGAGAATAATATTGCTGCCTTTTAATTCAACATATTGTAGATAAGAGTTTTCAGGGATATATGCTCATAATATTGTACATGAATATTTCTTCAATCAACTCCTAAGTTTGACAAGAGTTTCATGTTGCCCAAACACCATGCAAATGCGCCTATTCATAGGCTCTTTTTTAATCATATCCGAGTTAAACGTCCAAGATTATAATACCCAATGGCAAGCACAGGAATTCTGACATTATGCCTGAGCCAGTACGATAGACAACTTAACTGCTTTGTCTATATCCTTTGGTCGTAAGCCTGGCGTGCGACCTAAACAGACTGCCCTGCTTGTCATTTCTATACGTTGTTAGTTACTGGCTTCATAACACAAGTTGAAGGAACTCGCCTGCTACTAGTCGATTCACGTCCATCGTCACTTTTGTCTTCATCCAACTAGCATCTGTGGCCCAATCTCGAGGAAAATATGATGAATCCATCAGAGATCCCATCCCTGCACCGAACTGCCCAGGGTTGGTTGCCTCAACTGTTGGCATAATGTTGATGAAGTCAACACTCATTGCAGGTGCCATGAGAGGAGCCTGTGTCATTGACGCTGTGGTGGTAGCGAGGGTGGTAGGTATCGTGCTTTGCCACATACTCGATATGTCACTTGTGGCTTGCTGAGACGGCATATAAGGCGCCTGGCTTGACGCAGGGGGTTGCTGCGTTCCGAAGAAGCTGCTGCTCGATCCTAAGCCCGAAAGATCTGGAGCTGCGTCAAACGAGCCCATATCAATTTCAGCATCAATAAAATCCACGTTAGCAGGTATCACGATACCCCGTTGACGTAGATATGTTTCCACCTCATCTGCATCGAAGAAGTCCCCTTCAAATCCCTGGTACATCATTCGCATGCGAGTATCAATATGATCTCCTTTGGCCGCTTCAACATCTGGGTTAAAAGGGCCCATCGAAAACCCAGTCATCTCCTGTGGCTTCATATGCTGTGCCAACCCTTGATTTCCTAGCGGTATCGCGTTCCCGTTGGCTCCTGTTGCTGTACTTCCTCCGGCTTCTCCGTTATTCGGGAAGAAAGTCCCAGCACCACCCAGGTTTGTGAAAGGGTACCTCCAGACAAACATTGATTCCTGGCTCACTCTTGCCAATGTGCTAGATATGCGGCGGATGATAGACTCCCTGGGTTCGAATAGTAGACAAAATCCAAAGACCTCAGCATATCGATGAGGAGGTGGGTTGGCCATCGATGCCAACCTCAGACCAGCCTCCAAAGTTGCTCTCTGAAGGCGGCGACCAAAGCTCCGTTCTTGGGGCGCATAAGTGGCTGGCGAATGGACGTTAGGAAAGGGTGATTGGAGGAAAGGATTTTGCTCGAAACTGATTGTCGTTTGCGTGTCGTAAACCGGGAAACTTGCATTATCTGTAGTTGGCATTGTGATGATTTCGTAAGGCAGGTTCAGGGGAGGCGTAGCCTGTTGCCGTATAGTGGCGTCCGGTCTTCGTGGAGTTGACAGGCTCTTCTCTTGAGAAGCGCTAAAACCAGGTGGGTTCTGTAACATGAATTCACCACTCCCCGAGCCAGAAGTGCTAGAGTCGGAGCCGGATGGGTGCCGTCCTGGGGGTTGTGACACAACTTGCTCTTGTGCTTGAGCAGCGGCCGGGGTATCTTCGATGCCATCGCGGTTTGAGTCATCGGCAGATTTCCTTGTGAGTGAGAGAAACTTGCGGGTTGTATCATTGAGACGTCTTGCAACTTCAGGTGCACCTTCCAGCATTCCCTGTGAAAGAACAAAGTCAAAGAAATTCATGAACTCTTTGCTCATGTTTTCATTGGCATCTTCAAGATCCTTGACTTTGTCCTCAAGGGTCGTAATGGCAGTATCTTTGCGATTACGATAGGCCCTTTGAGCCAATCGAATCTGCGTTCGACGACGCTGTGGGAATTGTTAGTCAGAATGAGATCAGGCTGAGTGAAGAGCTTGGCTCATCGCATGAACTCACATCTTGAGCCGTCTCATCTCTGGTGTCAAGGCGTGGACGGCCTCTTGATCGCTTCTTACTCCGTTCCTCGTCGTTTTCTTCGGACGCCTTAGATCGCTTCCGCGCTGGCAGCGACTCAGGGGCGGTCTGAGGTTCTTCAAGCATGGTGGCTGGATTCTAAATGAGGGCGTTGTGACCTGAAATGGAGGGTGTATTGAACGATGAAGTCAGGAGAGGATAGCCTCAGGGAACGCGGTCGATATGAGTCATGTGATAATCAGCCGTAGTCACAAATAATTCGAGTTTATGAATTTTTTGGCATGATCAAATGTAACTGCCGGGACAACGACTGTATGACTCCGGTGAAGCCGGATGAAGCTCGGAGCTCCGCCGATTATGCTCCGTATGCCGGGGTGGGGATTTGCGGAGGGTACGGAGGGTACGGACCAAAGGCGAGGATGATACTTAAATGATGGCGGAATGATAGGGGCAGAGACGTGAGATGATGTTGGGGTTGGTGGTGAAGGGGAAAGAGGGCTGTGCATCGGCTAGGATCTCAAATGCCGATCAATGTCTGCTTATCGACTAGCGTCATAAAAGTGATGATCAATCAAGATAGGCACCTCGTTCAGGAACAAAAAACCAGGCTTTGGAACTGCTCGCTGTCTTTCCACCGGGGTGTTTTACAAGTGCTTGGGTTGAAAGGGCAACTATTTCAATGTTACACAAGACACTGTTTATTCTTCTACTCTCTGGAAACAATCTATGAGATGCATTTGCACCAAGGCATCAAACATGAGAGGGGCTTGGTCATTGCTCAGCCTTAAATGGTTAGTGGGGTTCCAGCGGATCGGAGCGACGTTGGACCCACTGAAGAGGCAGTGTCCAAAGCGGGGGATGAATTCGGGCGGGACCAAAAGTTGATATGTAAATGCAAGACAGAGAGACAGCTAACCATTGCTTGAACCAACTGTATCCAGTCTAATGCGTGCAGTAGAATCAGAGAAGATGTATACACTCGTCCACTTACATAGACTATCCATGCACCAGAAGTTTGTGTCCTTTAACCCAATTAGCTGCTGTCCAACCCTCAAAGACCCTCCACTGCTTCAGGGTAGTCCTAAATGGGCCAGCTTTGCGCTGAACGCACCTAGGCCACCAAAATGTCACTGCCACTTTCGCGACAGGGGGCCCGGAACTCCTACCCACCAACAAACGACTTAAGTATTATTCTGTCGTTTCATAACCTCTTCATTCACCTTCACACCAGCACCTTCAGTATATGCGCCTGGCTTGCTCTCTTTTTTCTAGAAAATTAATTCCGCCAAATTCCGACAGTCATTGTTGACCCTCTAACCATATAGATATCGGGCTTTGTCACACTATGGCTCCTATTTTACTTTGACGGCGCTACCATTTCGCGAACCACTACCGCACCCCCGACGACATCTGCTTTACCTTCAGCGTCCCTCAGCATGGGCGACTGGGCCCGAGGATGGACCAGAGTCGGGCAAACAGGTCCGACCCAGCACTATGGTCGTGTATGGGAGGCTGAGCGCGAGCTCCAGGAGCTTAGCATCATAGAAAGCTGGAATGATGATGATAGTTGGCCCGGCATGTAAGCTATTCATAGCCGATGAGCTGCGCACACCTTCAATGCTGACATTGGCTGCGCAGAAACAAGCCGCTCTTCAATGGCCCCGATGCGAAGCGCTTTGACACAAAACTTGCTAAACTTGAAGATCTGGGATATGGCGCATTCGGTCGCGTCGAGAAGGTCTCTTACGGGTCTGTCTGTCTTGCACGTAAAAGGATCCCACGCCGACGCGGGTTTACTATCGACGATTTGCGCAAGGAGAGCTTGACTATGCAGAAACTGGACCATCGCCATGTCGTCAAATTGGTTGCCACATACGCACCTCGAACCCACGAATTATGCCTGCTCATCTGGCCTGCTGCCGTCTGTAATTTGAGCACTCTCCTCGAAGACTTAGAATACCTGCGCATGGGAGAAGGGGATCGTGAAGATATCCTCGAGAGGCTAGATGCTTTAGACATCAAGGATTTAAGTGCCATAGAGCAATCATCTGAAGATCAGCTTCTCCACTCGACCACAAAATGCCCACTCGAATTCTTACGCAATACGATAGGTTGCATTGCTCGCGCATTGGCCTATTGCCACCAGAATGATGTGAGGCATCTCGATATCAAGCCATCCAATATCCTGCTCAAGGCAGACCGAGTCTACCTTGCTGATTTTGGCGTCTCGAGAGATGTTAGTGGACAGGATCAAACTATGACAGAGGGAGTACCGGGAACTGAGAGATGGCGAGCCCCCGAATTGTATGCCAACAACGGTTCCAGCATGCAGTTGTCAGATATCTACTCACTTGGTTTAGTATTTCTAAATATTGCAACCGTTCTGTATAATGTTCGGTTATCCGAGTTTGACGAAGCGTTAAGATACCCATCCAGGAATACCCAGGAAGAACAGCTTCGTGAGCGAGAGCAGAAGCTGAATGCTCACTTGGAAAAGCTTACATCTCATGCCTTGGTCACCCCCCCTTTTATGTTTACCTACGAGGGCCAAGAAACAGTTCGTCCCCGGCCAGTTGTCAACTTGATTGCTCGGATGATCACACCAAACCCCAAAAACCGATTACACGCATACAAAATCGATGACAAACTATCCATGCTCGGAGGAATTCATCAAATTTATCATGGAGAGTGTTGTAAAAGGCCAATATCGTGGGTCGAAGACAAGTGGGATAAAAAGCTCACGACATTGACGAGTCTTCGGAAAGAGAACGATCGCTTGAAACAAAAGGTTGCTGAGCTCGAAGGACGAGACAGAACATACGAATCTCGAGTCCAGCGCGAGGTCGACGAACACAAGCAGGCTGTGGTCCTGCTTCAAAAGAAGCTAAAAGATATGGAGGATAGGTGTCATATGTTAGAGGCAGATAATGCCAAAAGGAGGAGTAGCGCGAGTAAGCCCCCGAGCAAAATGGCGATGCCGCGACCCTACCGAAGCAGCACAACGAATCTTGAATCTGGGCCTGGGCTTGAGTCGTCACCAAAATCGAAGTCGACGCCGGTTACGCCAGCGGCAAGGCCAACCTTTCAGCCATGGTCTCGGTCTTATCAGCGTCTTCCACCAGAGCAGAGGGCTTCACCACTCCAACGACAAAGAGTCTCACCGCGACCCCCGAATGACATAACCCCCAGAGGTTCAATCGAATTTCCGACCTCAAGATCGCCAAGTTTCACCAATATCTCGGGTTATGCTTTGCGCTCGCGTGGATCCGGCTCGAAGCTCCCCTTGCCAATTACACCGTCTCGAAGTGAAACGCCGAATCTCAACCGTGACCAAAGCCTCACGGATAGCAGCATGTCCTCGTCAGTATTCTCTCGACATAGCATCGAGACAAACCCAACACCTCTACAAAGCAGCCCAGCCCTGGACCGCAACCCGCTTCCTATGGACTCTGCAAAAGGACCTCAATGGGGCCAATTGTCCAGGCAGCCTGATCAACCCGATGCGAGAGTGGTGACCCCTGAACCCCGGCCAGCGCCGTCAGAGCCGAGTAGCCCTGCCTTCTCAATGCCATTTTCCACCATGTCATCCCCGAGAACTCTTCGGTCCGACCTCGCGAGCATCGACGGGGATCAGACACGCCGACCATCTGTGCCCTCACTCCAATCGTTAAAGAGCTGGGCTGAAGTCGCAAACGAGGGGAAAAAGACGTTGAAGATGATTACTCGACCACGCGCGCACTCGAATAGGTCTAATAGACAACTGGAGGCAGAACCTGTCTAAGAACATGTATCATGACAGAATGACGACGTTGATGAATGATGTGGACTTTTTGGGCATACGATTTTAGGAATTTTGGGCATTTCAAGTTACGATCTAAACAGCATTTGCAGCTAAAAGTTGACTACAAAAGCGTATCATATCCCATCTACCTCTAATATTGTACATGTCTATATTCTTTCTAATTCCGCTATGAATGACAGGACCTGGGTATAATAAAGAAGATGATTACAGACCCTTTTATTGGCCACCTCTTCGCATGGTAGCAATTTGACTGAAAAATTGAGCTTCTTTGTCAGATTCCACAGCCCCTAACAGAGTATTCTCTTTCTTGGCCAGCCCTTGCCTCTTTGTCCACGAGATACGTCTACCACTGTCTTCCACTCTGGCTTCATACTTCCTGGCATATTCATCCTCTAACTTTTGTGCCCTTGTGACCCATTGTTCCGACAAGAACGGGTCTTCAAATGAAGTGTCTTTCGTTCGTTCCATTTCGGCCTGCTTTTGGCGATATTCTGTTAGGATTGTATCCAAAGTCTCCTTTGCTACTTTAGGATCAGTTGGCTTTGCGCCACTCTTCTTTTCTTCCTTGACCAGTGCAATTTCTTTTTCAATGAGACTGCTCACTGCTTTAGCGCGAGCCGTCTGGTCGTTTGTGATCTTCATAAGTTTTTGATCCCACCAAGCTTTTGTCAGAGTGGCAGTGAAGTGATATGAAGCTAGTGGCCCATCCCGTACGACTTTGTCCGTGAAGCCTTCCGCCAGTAGCAGTTTGTCCATCATGGCGTCCCATCGATCGTCTAATCGAGCCCTCGGGATGTCCTTAGTGGAAACTCCCAGAAGAGTTCTAACAGACCGTCGAAATATGGTTGTCTTTCTACTAATAGCCCGCGAGAACACCCTCGGCTGTGGTTTCTTAATTCGAACGAACGATAGCAACTCAGCAGTGTTACCAGTAACTGGCACTTTTCTCTCGCCGACAAATGCAGTTTTGGGAAGAGGTCGGATAGTTGGTTCGTATTTAACAGGCTCATCGGGGGCAGAGACTTTGGTAAAAAGTGGAGGGTTGAGTCGCTGCTTCGAACGAGGTGGCTTTTTGTAGGAGGGGGCTTCTAGACGGGAAAGATTGGCCGTAAAGTTGCGTTTGCGGAGATGTCGAAGTATTTCAGAGTGCTCGGGCGACTTTGTATCTCGTCCTTTCGTTAATAAAGTAAGGAACTGAACAGAACATTAGACCGTGTAGACCGAATCCTGTTCAAACCTCAAACCTTGTATCCTGCAGCCATTGAGTCGTAAAGAAGCCTGAAGCTGGTGAGTGGCTTATTCTTGGCGAATCTCTCCCTCACTATTTTTGTTAAAGGGTGTTTCCGTCCACTAGGATGGAGATGATGCGGTAAGGGCACGTTGGATGCTGTTTTTAAGAGTGCTCGATAGAGTGCCAATGCGGCGACTCTATGCTGCGAACTGCGCGCCGCGACAAAGTGCTGGCGAATCATGGCGACTGCGGTTCGTGTGGGCAGGTGTACATGTAGGTTACCGGTATAATTGAAGCATATTGGTGTTGATACCTGCGATTAGATGTCGGTGAAAGCTTGAACATGGTGGGGGAGTTTTACAGGTTAGCGGCTCGATGACTAAGAATTACCCCGGATTTTGAAGATCCATGGGAAGTGAAACGGTCATCACCAAGGGACTATTCCCGATGTATCCGTATGAATGTCGAACTTATTTGGGCAATTATTCAAAGATATGGCAATTTGCAGTCCTTCCTTCGGAACTCATTGCCTCAGCGTCTCAGCTGGTTTACCTGCAGAGAATATGTGATAATTCTTTAAGCAAGCCATCCAGATCAGAGAAGACTGCAATTCGTACTAAAAGTTGCTAAGATATCTTGTTATCCCTCACGCGTGTTAGCCAAGGTCATATTGTTATCAATCGGCGATTTATCCCCCCCTCCCCCGCTTGAGAACTTGATATCAAATGCAAGAAGTGACAATGTTCAGCAAACAAGTGCATTCTGTTGTTGACAAACTTGCTCGAAAGCCCAAAGGACAGTTGACAACTTTAGGGAACCGTTACATAGGTATGCAATCTAACGTCGACAAATCATAGAATAAGGGGCCGAAACTCAAATGACTCTAATGGAGATCCAGGCTTTTCGTGCCTTTGACAAATAGTTATTCATTCATTAAAGTTTTGCGTTCCTTGTTGTCAGTTTACGAAAGCTAGAGGACACCCTATTCGAACAATTCTTGCCACATCATGGCACACAAACGCAGCCTAATACAAGCTAAAGTATGAGTAGGGCTGCATTGGCTAACTGGAGGGTTGAGCCGCATGTTACGGACCATCCTATCAGAACAGCATGATTTGAGCAGCTGACGATGTTTTCAGGCTTGAAATGCAAATCTCAGCTCATGGTTGCCCATCCTTGCTTGTCCCGAGGCTCCCGTGAAGATGATCACTAACCCACAACAGCGAGCTGATCAATATTTCGTAGTCTCGATAATCAGTACCGAGACATCCGAAACGTCTGGACGGATCGGACAAGTAAAAATTGCCGATTTCCGAGATGTTGCCCGGCATTGATTGATCTGAGATACGCAGCCGCGCGCTTGAATGATGGATCGGGACAAGGGATCCGTTGAAAATTTTGTGATAAGTGAGATGATTTTGAGTTTGTGGTGTTTCAGTAAGCTATCATCACCCTGACGTTGGATGGCCAGAATGGGGCAAAGTACCTGTACCTTGAGGATGGGAATAGTGTTTTCAACGCCAGGGTACGATGTTATGTCGTTGAATCGCATGAACTTGCAATACAGACCAATCTGTGATGAGTGAAGAATATCGCTGGATATTCGATTTGCTCTAGGCTTCATGACAGCCATTAGCATTCGGACCCATTATAGATCTCCTTTGCTCCAGAGATTTAGCGACAAGAAAATATCCCCATGGATTGGATCCATGCCAATTACGCCTTTACCAGTCTTCCGTGTGGCCGGTTAGAATGTTGGTTCTGTTAATGATTGGCGAAAGGGTGCTAAGTCCTGGAAAGGACTCAAAATAGTCATAGAAACCCTGGACATTAGGGAAAGGAACGATTCTCGACAACAATAGATCTCACGTCTCAAATAACTTATGACCCAACATCACATAACATGATATAATATAAGAAGGGCTAACACGATTTTGTGGGATAATGGCAGTTATTGCTGTCAGGAGCCGATTGGGCTTATGGATGACATGAGGTGCCAATACTATGAATTGGCGAGTGCTAGAGATATCAGTTTGGCCGAAACAGATGTTTTAATGCTTGAAACATGCTGTTGTTGTGACCAGATGATACTGGGAGTGTTGCATGCGAAGATGAGTTTTAGGTGGTTTGAGGCTGCAAAAAATTAACGATAGCTTCAACTGGCACCACAACAAAAGCCCAATAACACGATAAAGCAGACGGCGCTCGTAGTTGTTGTCATTTAGCAATTGGCTCGTTTCACTGACAGACAGGCGGTCTAGGATTCTGAGTTGGCGATATGTATGTACATGCATGCACGATCTCATCCTTGTCGTTGCCTGCATGCGAAAGCTTTGGTCTGATATGCAACTACTCGACCGCTATTGAAGAGATTGATTCATGATCCAGCTGAAGTGGTAACCGAGGACGTATCTACGGAGAAGGGTGGGCGCAAGAACTGCTACGATACTAGGTAAACTTTGCAATGTGATGTCCGGTACTCCGTATGGAAATGGGACTTGGTCCATGGAACCTGTTTGAACGCTTGAACTCAGACTGAGGCTCTTACATGGTGGCGGCATCTAAAATGTGCGACGCACCCCGCTCTGTGAACAAATGGTTGCCATAAATGTCGATGCTGACCAGTAGCAAGTGATTCCGTAACCCCGCGGAGCAGTTGACTTTGAGCCGATACTACGTTGATACTACATATGTATGTATGGACTGATGGATTTGTCTAATAAATCGCGGTTGAGAACTGTAAAACTTACATTCTCTTTGACCGCAACACCGCAACCAGAAGAGTGGATCAGCCACTAAGAGTGTCAAGAGGTCTGACATCCACCCTATCACTCCCGGCTCAACGGGACAAAGTTATGCTAAACCGTTATGGACAGCAAGCAGATGTCGAGGCACGAGGGCAGCCTTAATAACAGGAACAGTACTAATAAAGTTAGGAGGAGCTCACGAGTCTGAATCATGTAGTTTGCATGTCTCATTTAACTCGATTGGCTTACCAGCCTTTCTCGTGTTCGGGTTGGCGTCCATCTATTTCCCAGCTCGGACCAATCTGGTACGGGAGGTGCCGCAGCTTGCATTGACTGAAAGGCCCTGGCTGTGGTGAGGTAGGGCAACCTCACCTCATAAGACACTCATTCCAGTGTTGCGAGATATCGATTTGATCCCCTGATCCAGATTGGCTGGGCTGAACTTAGCGGGCAGCGGCATGCATGCCTCTCATCAGTCGCATGAGGTTTTTGTAGGATGGATGCATCGGGCGTGTTCATGGATTAGTGACCCGCTCCCCCACCTCACTAATATCAAGGATGAGGTGGAAGACGCGGGAGAAGGAAGAAGAGAAAGAGAAGAAAAATTCATCCCATGCTTTTCAAGGTCAAGGCTGGCTCCAGCACTTGGGGCCGCTAACATAAAAAAAGGATTATTAAAGCAAGAGCATGGACTGAGAGAGCAGGGTATCTGCCAGCCTCTTCTCAACAACTGATGACTATTTCTGCTATTTCCTTCCCCCGTCGACATTATTCGATCTTGATCCCTCGACGCTCACAGAAACTGTCTGGCCCTGCTTCCTCGATCGGAGAAACTAGGATCGCTGCTAGAAAGGAGACCTCGATCTGGTGACACAGACTCTACTGGCACACGACATCGACTTATAGGGGAATATAAGTGAAAAACAAAACAGGAACACTGTACTGCGATCATCAGGACTGATTACTAAAAAAAGGAAATATCCTGGGGAACCAGCCAGCTGGTCCAACGCTCAAAGCCCAAAGTACCGGTACACAAACAAAAAGCAAAACCGCCAGAGACATCTCGAGCCAATAGAGTAGACAGGGACAACGGCAGCCACCAGTAACAGCTTGAGCCCTTGAGGTCACCACCTGGACTCTAATTAATATCCAACCCGCCGATCCCAGGGCGGCCTCACTCATTCATCTTACCACCCTTTTCCTTTCTCTAGCTTCTCCTTTCCTTTCCTTTTCTTGTTCTGTTTCCCATTCACTTTCGCTTTTCTATTTCCCAGCCTCGCAAATAATTCACTTCACCTTTTGGGTCTTTAGCCTCCAGACTCAACACTTTTCGATGCTGTACATGCACTAATACGTAAGTCGACCTCGCTTCTTCTGTCCCCTGTTTTCGCGTGTCTGCGGCATGCTGCTCCCGGCGCCGCTCTTTCTACCCCTGGCCCTTCTATTGATTAGCGGATGGAGTCTCGCGGCATCGTTGAGCTGTGCCTGAGCGGCTTGACCGCCCTATCCCTGGCTCTGAGGCGGATTCCGTTGACGCCTTCTTGACGGCCATGTCATGACGGCCCAGGCAAGCCACTGCTTACCCCAGCTTGACCCCTGGATCTGCCCATCATCGCGTCTGCTTCTGATATACACCCGAGTGTCTTCCACCGCTTCGAGTCCTTGTCTTCTTGACCGTATAATCTTCACCTTACCCATGAGCCCATAACGCCTTACAGCTAGCCTTCCGCCGCTCAACCATTTTCGCTTTTCATCCGTCTTTTACGGTGACCGCTTTATTCAGAGCTGACTTTAATACTTGACAGACCCCACGCGATCAGTTCATACACAGAGTTGCGCGCGGTCTCTTATAATACCAACTTTCTTCCTACCTATCCACCGTACTAAACAGGGCCACACCTCCCCTGACGATATTGGGCCAACCTCTTTGTCTCTTGACACCTCACCCAACATCTCGTCATCTGCCGGTTCGTGTATTGTCCAAGTGCTGGCTTCCACGGCGGGTCGACCATTTCCGTATCATCCCATCTCGCTCATCCTGGTCTCATCGGACCACATCTTCCCCGGCTTAACATCCCGCCAGATCGGTTACTTTATTGCTCGATCACGCCCTGTGCTTTAGCTGCGTATTCGGCTTTGAAAACCACTGAAACACATATCATAACTTGACCTGCCTCGCTTGGTGGTCTCTGTATTTGTTTACATTCGCCATCAATCTTCACTCAGCCATATTTGACAACAGAGTTGATCTTCTGTCTAATATCAACGACACCTTGGATTGAGCTGCTGCATGAGCTCGACCCGAACTTGGCTTGGCTATCATGTTTCTGCATGCTGGTGCTAGCCTTCACGGCCACGAGTACTCGACAAATCGACAGACACAAGCGCCCCAAGGAGCGTTGCCCTTCCTCCGATCAGCGCTTCGACGCCGGTCAGATGCTGATAAAACAACAAGACCATTATCAGCAGACGTTACTTTCTTACCACAACCCCG